TTTAATCTACCGCTCATTCGGAATGCTGTCTCATCACAAGAAGAACAAGCAAGAAACTTGTGTGTTGCTCTTTTAAATAATTTATTTAGTCTAGAAGCAGGTAACATTTTCAATTCAGCCAACATCATTCTGTTCTTGTAAAAATACCTTATTTCACATGAACAGAGATATAGAAAGTGATCTCTAGGGCAATAAAATGAATTTAGTCGGAAATATAAAATACAAAATGTCAACTTATATTTTATTAATAATAACAATAATTTCTGTGCCTAAATAATTAGGCACGGAAATTATACTCGAGAGACCTATTAATGATTTCACTAACCTTATTGTATTGTATTTTAGTTAATTTTAGACTTTATACTAAATAGGGCGAGAATTGTAAACTTATTATATGAATTGATTTTTATGAACTAGCTATGCCTGCGGAATCACCCACACGAATTTTTAGCCTATGTGTTATTCTGATTTATAAGCTATATGACTGTAGAGTTTCATCAAAATCCGTTCAGTAGTTTTTGCGTGAAAAAATAACAAGCATCCATACTCACAAACTTTCCCATTTGTAACATTATTAAGATATGAAAAATGCCTTGTCGGAATAACTGAATAACACCATCCAAGGTCGTCTCCAAAGTATTTCTTTAAACTGCTACTATAAAGAGAAAAAATATAATCTTATTTGTGTATATTACCTACAGATGAACAAGGATAAGGCATAATATCTTAGTCCTCGAAATGGAAACGCATAAGTAAAAAAAACTCGTTTCTTTCAAAATTAATTTTAAAAATACTGGATTAAATTCTTTCACATATTAAAATTTCATAAAAATCGGTCAAGTTGTTTCTGAGGAGTACGGTAACTACATTGTGATTCTCGTATCACAATGTAGTTAGAATTTATTTTCATATCTACTAGATGTATACCGTAATTTGATTTAAAAAACGGTGGCGCCCTTGTACATTGCAACCCCGCCCACTCTTTTACATCTTATTTGTCTACCGTTCATTCCGATTTTTCTTTTTGCTCGGTTTATAAAAATCATAGCAATATATTATAGTTAGTTACTAGTTAATTATTAGTATGATTGTTTGTATTCGTCTGGGTGTTTTCTATGTATATTATTTATTTTAGAAAAAAACATTCAAAGTATTTATATCAGTTGTCTAGTACCCATAACACAAACTCTCTTTACCGTGGGACTAGGTGGCGCTGTGTTAATTGTCCAGGGTTATTACTTAATCAAAATTTTTTTCGACTAGTAAATCGTAAGGTTATCCGTCTTAAGGTTGCCTGGAAGAGATAACTTGTTAGCGATAAGGCCGCCCATTGTTACCTTTTTGTCTTGTTTATTGTTTTTTTGATATCATTTTATACATAATTGTATGTAACTGTATTTTCTGTGAGAGGAAGAATAAAGAGATCTATTGTTCTAGATCTTATGGAGTTCAAACAAACAACTTTTTATCAGCTTTATGTATTTGTAAGTACAAATACAAATCCCTTATACTTACTGCGAGTATGTAAGCAACGTCGAATGAATTTTATTAATGGGAAGTCACGAAGTGTTACTTCGAAGTAATTGTTGGTGAAACCGTTGACCTTTTCTCGAATCATTACATTCGTAGTCCACACTTGAATCTCCAATGACGACCTCGGTGATCTAGGGGTTACATACCTATACATACAGCCTAACCTCCGTAGTCTCGGATTCGATCCCTCGCAGGTTGCAAACATTTGTATTCATATGTATAATTGTTTGTATCCGTCTGGGTTTTTCATATATATATAATGTATTTACAAACAAATGTAACTATGTATTTTTATCAGTTGTATAGTACCCATTACACAAGTTCTTCATAGTACTAGATGGCGGTGTGTAAATTGAGGTAGTATATTATATAGTTAACGAGGCAGGCTAATGGAGAGTAGAAAAATAAATAATCTTTATTCAAAAAAAGTTAATATAAGGACTCTTGAATAGTCATATTTCTTCAGGACTCATTCGGAACGCAGACTCATCACAAGAAGAATGAGCAAGAAACTTGCGTGTTGCTCTTTTAAATTAATGTTGTTCTGAGTAACTACATATTAACAAGGATTAGGCATACGATAATAAACATAGAAATTAAATGTGTTCAGAATTACATTTTTAATCATTTTGTGTGAATTTGTATGAATGGCCTTATATATACATAATAAAAATAAACTTCTTAAATCCCTGTTATTTTGTGCTTTAAATAAATATAATTATAAGAGAATATAGTAATAAAGTGGTTAATTTTCAAATCATGTAATTCCAACACTGTTATTAGTTCATTGCTGTCTTCGTGTTTAGTAATAGAAGTATAGAAAGGTTATAGAAGTATACAAAATTGTAAAGTTATGCTCATTGATTACTCAATTAAATTAATAAAGTAAAATCAAGTGTTTATTTTTTATAATAAACCGTTCAATCCGTAACTAATATTTAGATACTAACTTATAAATGAATGGCGAGATAAGTAGGCGGCAAAAATAAAATATACCGAGCAGCGGCTACAGTTCTGCAAGGGACGCTAAGTTAATTTCTGGCGAGACACAACTGTAAAACGTCCGGGTTGCGACATTCTCACTAATCTACTTGTGAACTGGAATTTACTGCAATTGAAGCGGAGCTGCAACTTAAAAAAAACGCATACAGTATTTTTTTTTCAGAGTTCTGTGAATTGCGACTAATTCAAGTTCGTTTCAGAGGGCTTTAATATTATTTTTGACGGCTTCGATGGTCTAGCGATATTGCTCACTGCCTTATTTCCGATGGTCGCGGGTTCGATTCCTCGGAACATCTTACAAACATTTGTATTCACGAGTATGATTATTTATATACGTGAGTGGTTTCTATGTATTATATGTATATGTATGTATTTACGAAAACTATATATCTACGTATGTGTATCAGTTATCTAGTACCCATAACACAAGCTTTAGCTAACTTAACTTGGGTCTAGATGGCGCTGTTGAATTGGCCTGACATTATTTTTAAGATAACTGGACTTGAAGACCGTAGTACCTCATGCGCTATTAGTACATTAAACTAAGATGTTTTTCTTTTCTCTTCCAACTTCGGCTTTGCCTTCGCATTTAGCCAATATCAAGTTAGGGAAATATATACAGAGATATAAATAAGAAATGGAACAGAATAGTTATAACTCTCTAATTTCACACGATAAAAAATGGCAACCGTAGACTATATACATAAGAGCGCCACGTTTGTCCCTTATGCTACAAAAAGCCATATAATAAAGATTTATTGTACTTTTTAACCTAAAATTCCAATAGGTATATTTTATTTATATTTTTATTTCTCAAGCATACATTTAAATGCAAAACTAATCTTGCATTTCTTTTTAAAAGATCGACTATGGACTTCCCTGGTGTTGTGATGGTAAGAGATTAGCATGATGGTAAGAGATTACCATCACATGAGCTGCAAGTTCGTTTGCCTCTTATGCTACGAAAAATGCCATATCTAAATATATATAATTCAAAGGTGACTGGCATAGTGATAGATCATCGCACAACCCAAATCACTGGACGGATTGGGCTGAAATTTGGCATGCAGGTAGATGTTATAACGTAGGCATTCGCTAAGAAAGGATTTTGATTAATTCTACCCCCAAGGGGATAAAATAGGGGATGAAAGTTGGTATGAAACTTTGTCAATCCGATCGGGCTGAGACTTTGCATGCATAAAGCTACTATGACGTAGGCATCCCCTAAGAAAGTATTTTAATAAATTCGGGTGGAATAAAGGAATAAATGAACGCGAACGAAGCCGCAGGCAAAAGCTAGTATTATATAAAGATTTCTAATAGTTTTTAACCGAAGATTTCAGTAGTTATATTTTATTCGTATTTTTATTTCCCATACATACATTTAAACGCAAAACTAATCTTGCACAGCGGTAAATAACAATAACCGTCAATTGCGAATGAAATACAACTGTAATACTTACTTGATGTCTCCCGAGAGGAATGGTAGGGAACCATTCAATGAGAATGTCAAAAAACTTGCGCCATAAAATACCAATATGACATTACTATAACCTCCAAGTGATCCATTATTTTACAAATATGTTGTTTATTACAGAAACGGGGACAATCTTGACATATAGTTGTTAGAAATATTTACAATTTTATTATCATCCCATCTATAGAACAATGCAGATGTAAAGCAAGATATAGGTAGTCATTAAAAAGACTATAGCGTAATCTTTATGTGTGTGTGTCTGTTTGTCACGTAAGTCTTCCTAAATGGCTTTGCATGAAAATTTAAATGTATATTTCAAAGATTGGTAAAATTGAAGAGGCTTGTTAAATTGATTATCTTTCTAAAGATCATAGACCAATCCAGAATTGAACCAAGATAAAGAAAAAAAAAATTATATATATATATATATATATATTTTAAAGTGGTTCCGGATTTTAGTTTCGGGCATAGTGATCTATCAACGCACAGCCCAAATCACTAGACGGATCGGGCTGAAATTTGGCATGTAGGTAGATGTTATAACGTAGGCATCCGCTAAGAATTTTAGTAACATTTTGACTAATTCTACCCCCAAGGGGATAAAATAGGGGATGAAAGTTTGTATGAAACTTTGTCAATTTTAAACCGATAAGGCTGAGACTTTGTATGCATAAAGCTACTATGACTTAGGCATCTCCTAAGAAAGGATTTTGATGAATTCCATCCCTAAGAGGATAAAATATATAAAAGTTTGTATAAATCTTCTTAGATTTTTGACTGATTGTACTGATTCGACTGACTGAATAGCTAGTTTTAAAATATAATCAATAAATATGACTATTATGTACACTGACTTTTAAAAAACTTTTGTTGCCGGACACTTGTAACAGTGTAAGAGTGGAAATAAATATTTTTTCCTACAACAAAACTTTATTGTAACTTCAATTTCACAAATAACTAATACATAATTATGTAACACAATTAAATAATTCACTATCCATAGATAGATAAATTTTAATAGTCTAATGCACAAAACAGCGCGACGCCACGTTTGATCCAGTGCGACTGCGGCTTGTGCGTGGTCAGCTCTATGGTCATTACGTAATTGGTCGAGTGTCCCGTGGTAGATAGCGTACCCGCTCTCAGCAGAGTCTTGTACACGGGACACTCGTACAAACCTTGTTGTAGTTTGTGGTTTTGTTCGGGTTTCATGTATATTATCGCCATCTCTGTTAGAAATTTAACAATCTATAAATCATTCATCAAAGTCGCCGTATTCACCTGAAGTATTTACACTTTTTTTTTAACCATGCAACAGATTTTTGTTTATATGTCTCATACAAGGAAATATATAACTATATTCTTGTATTATATAAAATATAACATGATTAATTATATATTTATATATTCGTACTCAAGAACAAGTTTGAACCATATAAATACATACATACATACAAAAAAAAGTGTTGAACAACAGTTTGTTCCGAGAGGTTTTCTATATTCAATATTTTTTTCAAATATATATTTAAGTATATGTATTACAAGGTTCCACTGGAAATCAGCGTTTGGGCATTACAGCCCAGACACAAAGCTGAGTGGTAACCAATTTGGTCGCAGCTGTATTTTTAAAATAATTTGTTATAATTTTTGTAAAATGTTGTATATATTTTTCTTTTCTTTCTTTCTTTTTATTAATTAATTAACAATATTACAAAAATAATATAATTTATTACCATTTAATTCATGTACCCATATTCGAATAATTTACGTATATTTTTATTATTTCTGTTAATAGTTATGGAGGTTTATTAAGTTGGAATACAATTGACTGATGAATATAGACGAAGCGAAGACAAAAGATAAAACCTTTATTTTTATCTTTCTCTTAACTTTATTTAAAAAAAAATTAATTCAAAACTTTCGGATTTTTATTGTTTTCGACCAGCCATATAAATATGTAGTTTTAAACGTCTGCATATAACCTGTGTGCAGTTCTTTAGGACGACTCTCTTCGAGCGCCATGTCGCCCATATTCCACCGAGCGCCCTCCAGGAACAATCCGCGCACGCAACAGCCGTCGTCGGGCTTCTTAGCTGGTATACCCGGCAATGCCTGAACCACACATTATAATAATAATAATAATATATCACGACAATTCGCACAGCGCCATCTAGTCCCAAGCTAAGCAAAGCCTGTATTATGGATGCTAGACAACTGATACAATTACTTATTTTATTTGTTCTTCTGTTGTTTTGTGCTACAATATTGCTCTGAAATTAATATATTTATTTTGTAAAATTAATATCGTATTAAAACCTTAATGCACAAATATATAAGTACATATGGCAGACTTAACACCATAAGGCATTTTTTCCCATTATATTAGTGGTTTTTTACATTGTATTGTGTTACGTGTAGTATTATTTTTGCTCGTATTAAGTCTTATTTTTTCGCATTTGTTGAATGTTTACCGAATGTATTTTTTGGTAAATACATACATATCATACATACAAAACACCCAAACCAATATAAACAACCGTAGTCATGAATACAAATATTTTTATCGTGCGAGGAATTCAACCTGGGACCATCGCAAGTAAGGCGGTACCAAATCGGTAGACTACGGAGGCCGTCATGGGTCTGTATAGACAACCTTGTACGATATTCCTCTAGTAATGAAATTAGGAAATATTAATATTTACTGTTTCCATGTGTATATCAACTTAAAAAGATAATTAACCTCAAACGCATAGGATACTGTATCTATAGCGATCACGTGTTTTCTGGCATAATTCTGCAGCGCCCCTGTCAGGAACGCCTGTGGGAAGTAGAACCCGGAGATCCAGAACACCTTTGGTATGCCACCGTCTGCCCACTGCTGCATGAACTGGACCCGTAGGCACAGATCCTTCACCCATGCGGCTGTTGCAGTTTAATCAAGTTCAAGAATATTGTCCATGTATGACTAATTCGTTATAATATTATTTTGTTTAATTCCGCAACTGTTAGCATAGGAGTCTACTACGTCGTAGTCTAGTCGCCAAACTATACTGGGCTTCCAAACTATATCATCTCAATTCCAATGGCTGATGACACGCGTCGCAATACGGGTGTAGATCTGACAACGGTCAGAATTTGATCACTAATAGAGAAGGCCATCACTCTTCCAGTAGCGGTGGTCAGGTTTCTGCACTGAATATTTGTGGTCTCACACATGCTAAAGATAGCGGAATTAAACAAAATCATATAAATCCATTAAGTAATAAAATAAAGTCCTGATCATCTGGAAGAATGACTGTCTTCCAACGTGTGTTCTTCCAGAAACTTTTTGTCTCGCACAACCACATTGTGGAATCACTTTCCAGCAATGGTATTTCCGAAATGATACGATATTGAAACCTTCAAGAAAAGAGCTTACTCCTTCTTAAAAAGCCGGCAATGCACTGTGCTTACAATTGTGTTGGTTTTGCCGGTGCTCATGGGTGGTAGTAATCACTTACTCAAGCGCGTTTGTCCCTCCTGCTATAAAAAAAACGCTTGTACTTTTACTAACCAAGTGGTTTTAGAGAAGGATACGCTTTCGAACTCCACATTACGGGCACGGCATTGCGTGCTAAACTGGCCGCCATACTTTCCAAGGCTTCGGACATTACTACAAGACCCTTTAGTGCCTTCAGCAGATCCCTATTGGAGAAAATAACGGAGTTTTCATATAATATCAGGGTTTTTACGAAGTTCAATGAAAAACAGTATACATCTTTAACTATTTATTTAGAAATGTATTTAATTATTTTGTATGAATAAAGCTTTTATTTGGAAATGCCCGTATTATCATCCTCCACTGATGCCCCGACAGTGTAAATCGCTAGTACTGGCAGTTGCGTCATTCCATAATCATCCATAACAAAAATCTTATTGGATATACAATATTGGATATTATATTAACTGTTACAGATACAAGTTGCTGTTATTGTTTATGAATCGACATACAGTATGCCTGTACTTATAATCATTACATAGTATAAAATAAAGTCGCTGTCGATGTCCTGTCCCTATGTATGTTTAAATATTTAAAATTACACAACAGATTTTGAAGCAGTTTATTTTAATAGATAGAATGATTCAAGAGGCAGGTTTATATGTATAATATATGTACACCCGGGCGAAGCCGGGGCGAGTAGCTAGTAATAAACAGAAAAGCAACCAAAAATAAACACATACGTAAATAAATTTTAAATAACTTATTATACAGCAAATACTTTTACAGATGTAAGCGAAGCTATGCATCTAACTTAAGCGTAGCAATGTAACTTGCAAATAATCTTATATAAGGACAGCAATATGTATTAAATAAACAAATAATTGAATATATTAAGCAGGGGATTAGTATTAGCAATTAGTGAAGAAATAACATCTCAGGACAATTCACACAGCGCCATCTAGTCCCAATTTAAGTTAGCAAAGCTTACATAGAACCGACATAAATACATAGTATACAGATATAATTTTCTTTTGTAAATACACACAACATATATTTTAAAACAACAAGCAAATATACTTATGAATACAAATGTTTGTGCGAGGAATCTAACCCGGACCATCGGAAGTTACGCGGTGTGTTAGTCCGTTAGATCACTTACGCCATCTTCCACCCGCCAATATTATTATAGTATGATTACAGTATTAAAAATGTGAACTTCACCTGAGGGAATTGTTAATGACGTGCAGCAGTCTATTGTAACGTATCGCTTCTTGTATGAGCACGGTATTCAACGACTCCTTGTACGATACCGGATACCTACGCACAAACACATTAACTGATCACATTTTACAATGTCCTCCTTGGGCATTTATTTTAAACGATGATACCAAATTAAACCTTGCAGTAAAAACTACTGTCTATTTAATAATATAATTCACATATATTTTATAGAAACAGACATTAATTTGAGGAGGAATTCCATTTCATTACTAACATTATTTTGTTAAATTACGCTAGTATTAGCATGTGTGAGACCACTACATCGTAGTCTAGTCACCGAACAGTCAACTAGCCTTGCATCTATTCATTGCCTGATAATGCCTGATAATCCGATAACGATCGGTATTTGATCACTAATAGAGAAGATCGTAGCGGTAGTCAGGTTTCTGCACTGAATATTTGTGGTCTCACACATGCTAATCGTAGCGTAATTAAACAAAATAATATAAATTAAGTGTGTAATTTTTATAGAATATACATATAACTATTATTCATAGCAAGGAGGACAAACGTGCTTGCAGCTCACCTAAAAGTATAGCTCACCAGTAAGTAATTAATGCGGCCGATTATCAGCGCATATCAAAAACTGCTAGTTTTCGGTATGCATTGATTATCAGTCAAGACAAATGATTTTATACGATTTTTGAACTATAGACTAGGTAGTTTCATATACGAAAAACCATGGCAGATATCTCACGTGGTCGCTATATACTTCTGGTCGAGTATGGGAGGCATGACCTCCAGGATTTCCTTGGCAGCGCGTTCCGTCATCTCCTCAGCTGTGAGGCCGCCTTCTCCGCTCACTTCTTTCGGCTGCAGGTTGCGTAACGTATCTGTATAAAGTCATTATTTATTTATTGTCGTAAAAACTTAGCGCGCCTTACAGCTTCCCACTATGCTCATAAAATATACACAAAATATGATACTTTAATAATGACAAAAAATATATATATTAAAGCAATAACAACTTGCAAATTTACGTATTATTTATGTAATCCATTGCCATTCTTCTAAAATTCAACAATTATTTGTACATCCTCTTGGATAATAATAACCCAGGACAATTTACACAGCGCTATCTCGTCCAACTTTACGTTATGGGTACTAGATACCTGATAAACACTAGGACTTCATCCGTACGATGTGGAAATCCTATATATTCGCACTAAGCTGTTCGCGTCGTAATTTCGTTTACGACTACTTACTCTTCAAGTCTATGGTGAAGAGATTTCTTCTGGGTAAATGCGCTGCATCCTAGGTATCGTCATTATTTTTCACCAGATGACCAAGATGGTAAGACCAAGCGCAAATACATTTATAATATAAAAAATTGTAAATTATAATCGATAAGGTCAAGAGATACATAGATACTTCACGAGTATTAAACAACAACAAACAACAATAAAAAATCAGAAAGCTTATTGTATTATGTCAAAAAAATATACAAATCCCACAACTGCATACAATATGGTAGGTAATTTAGTCTAGTAAGAATATTGTAGATTGTTAAGTGCAGTTAAATAAGTATTTTTCTATTCTACTCAACGGATTAATTTTGAACATTTATCGCAACATGTCTCTCTTAAAACAAACCACTTACAGACTCTTCCCATCTCTTAATCTTACATGCTTACTCACTCTCATTCATTCTTCTTTTCCTATCTATCTCTAACTTGGTGTTCTCTTTTTTTAAGCAATATTTCCTCTTGCTCTCTCTCTCTCTCTCATCTCTTTTTTTACCTTTCCTCTTGCTCTTTGTGCTTCATTACAAACTATAAACTCACTAATATTGGCGTTGGTCTCCGACATAGCGTAGCTGATGTTGGCGTTACTGTGCAAACCGAACAGCGAGGGGTCGTCGTTCAGAGGCAACGTGCGGATGTACTTCGTGTAATCCTCTATATTGGTCGATGGCGATAGCTAGTAACATTGTACAACTTTTGTTACTATGTTATTACTTTACATACTATGTTCGCTCTTAAAGACCATAAAAGACCATAAACCTCTTACATCTTAATAATATTATAATTGCGAAAGTTTGTGTTTGTACTAAACGGATTTTGATGAAACTTTCCAGTAATATAGCTTAGGCATAAGAATAGCACATAGGCTATATTTTTTATTGAAATTAATATATTGAAATTTTCGATCCCCGTTTAAAGGGGGTCGGGATCGATCGGAGGTGAATGGACCAGAGGGGGATTGATCGGAAGGTGATCGATCGGAGGGGTTTGGCCTAGTATGCACCTGCTTGTAAACGCCGCTCTCGTCGAACATGTGTCGTTCGCTAAGCACCGTAGTGGAGTAGTAGTCGGCCAGCAGGCACAGGAGACAGCGCCGGTCCCAGTCGTCCGTCACACGTCCGCCGTAGTTTATATGGCCCGCCGTATACATTAACATCTACAACAGACGACTATAGCAATACTAATTCTTTGCTGCCTACACTGCCCTTATAAATGATATAAAATAATGTTTGTAACATGCGAGGAATCGAACCAGCGACCATCGGAAGTAAAACAGTGTTCTAAGCCGATGAACCACCGAGCCCGTCAACATGAACCTATGTGTTAATCTGAGATATGATGTATATATATATATGTGTGTAATCCTATGGCACCTTTTTTGCATTTAAACAGCTTGTTTTGTAAGCCATAACAGAAGTTAGCAGCTTACAAAGTAAGTTGTTAACTGCTTAGTCTAGCTTAGGCTACTTATGCTATGCTGTATGTATATAAATGAAAATATAACACATCTTCTGCTTAAATTGGATTAGATTCCGGCCTGATTTGTCGTAGGTGTTGTTGTATGAATTGTCCAAAGGTATTATACAATTATTCTATGGGTGTTAAATTATCGCCTATTAAAAAACTGACCCTCAGAGGCACTTCCGCGTACTCGACGAGGAACATATGTAGCTGCGAGATGCAGATCCTCAGATCGCCGTCAGTGAACTCGTACGGTATGTTGAAGCCGAGCGGACCGAACTTACGCCGCTCTAGTACCACGCCGTGGAACAGGCATAGAGAGAACAGTAGCCACTGTGGATAAATGAACCAATCAATTTTAAAATATATTATGTAGAGACGACAACAAGCCACAGTTGCGCGCGCGAGTTATCCAGTATATATGTATATATATATGGAGGATGATAAGATGAGCATGAGATCAGGTCAGTTAGCCTTGCCCCAAAGGCTATTACAGACACCTATGATAAGGTAAAACTACCGTCAGTTCTGAAAGCAGTTCAAGTCGAGAAGACATGACAAGAATGTCAAACCAAAATAAAAAAGTTTAGTAAATGTTAGGACGCTTGTCGAATATTATTAAGTAACTGAAATGGTGAACATGCTGACGCCCTACCTGATGTATCAGAATATATGTAGTGCTGTTCATGTATCAGCCTATATATATATATATGAAAAGCACTACGGACATTACATTTTTTAATATACTATAATTACACCTTTCTTATATACTCTTTATTGTACTCAATAATTATATTTTTTTATTACTTTTGGGAAAATAGGAAATTGCCTATTTGATTTAATAATTATTCATTCTAATAAACATCTTACAAAGAAAATAAAATCAATCTAAAATAATCATTTTTTCAATTTTCTATGACAATAAATGGCAATGAAATCAGTGGCAGTAGATAACATACTAAGATCTCAAATAATAGGATGAAGGCAATTTTATAATAATGATTATTCTGATGATGATCATCAATAAATGGTAACAAATGTAAAATTAACCTTAAAATTGGGTACTTTGCTGTCGTTCGAATTGATGTAGTCAACAAAGTCCGGCACTTGATTCATGTATGCCTTCAGTAGGTTCGCCTTAATCCCTCTAGGAGGCTCCACAGTCATTTTGTAACCTGACGAAGAAGTGAGTGGTTCAAATTGCATACAATTGTCAACAGTGCAGATTTATCTGTAGCTTTATGCTGAGAGAGACTTTGGTATTCAGTAAAAACAATATATGCACCATGACTAGAGCCCTCACAGGACACTGCAAATTGAATAAACACAGCAAAATTAGACCTGAACTTAACAACAATTTTCAGATTTCAGCAAGTAGAAGAGGAAACACCACTACATACCCTGTGTAGCCCACTCGTGCATAAAAGAAAACTCATTGCTACTAAGAATATTCTTTATGTCTTGTCCCTGACTGGTAACTTTGAAAAAAGGGCGAACACAGCAGCAGCGATCTAAGCAGGTGTGCTACAGGTTTTAGCACCTGACAATAGCCCAAAACCTGGCATATAGTCATCTTCATTTCTTTTATCTGTTCATATATTTTTGTACCTCATGTATGGTATGTGACTAGTGAACAAAGAATAGATCTATTTATCTATACATGACTAATTTCCGTCCGACTAGTCCCACGCTAAGCAGAGCTTGGGTTTCAAATTCAAAATTCAATAAATCTTTTATTCATGTAGGACATTTTAGCCGCTTATGAACGTCATTTTTTTATATTATATTTTTTCCGTACCGTCCATAGAAAACACCCAGGCCCATACAAACTATTATACGCATGAATGCAAATGATTGCACCGTGCGAGAAATCGAACCTGCGAGCATCGGAAGTAGTGCATTGGTGTGCTAGACCACCGAGGCCGTCAAATAACATTAGTGTGTGATTTAACATCAAACCGTTCTGTAGCAGTGCGACGGGGAAATGCGGAGACGGTGTAGAGGTCAGCCACAGCCGGAAGTCCTTGTGCACCAGCTCAGGTTGGATGTGTTCCACGTTCAACTCCAGGACCGGCATCCACGATGGTGACAAGTGACAATTCTGAAATGGCACCATGTGAAATTATTCTATGAAACTGCAGTGAAATTATAATTAGCTAGCGCTTACCCGCGACTTCCATTGTTTGGTTTTTTTTTTCTAAAACAAAAGTATAATTCTTATAAGATTAGAAATGTACCAGTGAAGGTCCCGTTAAAATCTGTATACACAGTACAACCAATCCTGTAGAACACAAGATCGGACAGTTAAGTCATCTGCACCCCCTAGGAGGTGGAGGATGGGGTCTCGGGGCGAGCCATTTTGTCCCCGGATCGACTCCATGGGAATTGGATTGAAGCGCTTAAGGGTGGGTATAAACAATTAATATAAACTATCCTATTGTAAATTGTAAATACTATCCTATTGTAAATTGTAAATACCTGAAAGAAAACCCAGTTGCCAAAATCGCAGCCGACTTTCATCATGGCCTCAGCTAGCGGCCCTTGGCCCTGCCCTAGGGATATGCTCTCAAAACGCTTGCCCATCTTCATCTTATCCGCAAACTTCATCAGATCTAATAATAGAAGAAATATATTTAAGATAGCTTCAATAAAAAATTTAGAGTAATTTTTTGTCTAATTTAGAGTAATTTAATAAATTATTGGTGGCGCCACCATCGTGCCCCCACTATTACACATAGGGTATAGGCCCTGTTGTGGGGACCGCCCACGTATATGAAAGAATTTCAATATTTCTATTGTTAAAACCACTAATTATGATGACGACTTAGGCTTTGATGTTGGTTTACCGGAAGAGAAACCCCAAGTAGAGAGAGTAGAGTAGAGTGACTTGTGACACGGGTGTAGGTTTAAAAGGCCCTTTTAGAATGCATTAACACTCACCTTCACTAGTTGTAGCCAGATCCAACTAAATCCGGGATAAACTAGTCTCTAATATAATTCAATTTAGAAATACAACCGCCACCATCCTTTCTCCTTACCATATGTAAGGAGAAAGGACCACGCACATTGCATACACAACAAGTATTTCCTATGTATTAAGAGTTTTTCACTCATTCATTTAATAGATGCAGCGTGTTCACCTGCAGCTGGATCTGTGCCGGTGGAGAGCACGAAGATGATGGGCGCGAGCGGGTCCGACTCCGCGAATAAGGCCGCCAGGTCCGCCGGCTGCGGCTCCACGAACCGCGCGCCCACGCCCCACGACACGAACTCCTGGACCGGACAACGTTACCACTCTAATTTCTTTATAACACCTAACATTAGGTGTCTTTATACGACACGAACTCCTGGACCGGACAATGCCCATTACGACTCTAGTTCTAGTTCTACATCACGCAATAAATTATTATATTACATACATAATAGCATATAAATTATTATATTACAAGTTATATGACATAATGTATATATACATTTTAAATTACATAAAGATATCTTCCATAGATACTGAGAAGAAAAATTGCTATAGGGATTAGGGACATGACACTGACTTGTGGTAGAAAGGAAGAACTACAAAAACGGTCAAATTACTTCAATAGAGGCTTTTCAAATAAATTAAACCATACAAAATACACTGCAATGATTGCATGCAAAGTAGAGACCGGATGATAATCATCCATAAAAGAAACAAACCTGTAAACCGGGTACAAGTTTGTCCGGCCGCAGACACTTCAGCACCAGCAACTTCTGGAACGAATCCAACTGAGAGTCCAACGGTTTTGGGTATGGAAGTCTAGAAAAATAATGAAATAAAATGAAAATTCTTTATTGTTCTTCTCACTGAATACAAACAAACATTTATGTACACTATTAATATATAGATATATATATAAACGTACAACGAAGTAAGAAGGGAACAATGGGCGGCCTTGTTGCTGAAAAGTGATTTCTTCCAGGCAACCTTAGGATGGGTAAAAACTTTTTACGGTGCGCAGTAGGTAACTTCAATAAAGACTCCTACGAAGTAGAAATTTTCAGAAGTAAAATTGTCTGATCTAATATTGTTATTATATTAGAATAGACCTCAGTGGTAAAGCGGTTTAGCACACCGCCTTACTGTTAATAGTCGCGGATTCCATTCCTAGCGCGGTACAAACAGTCGTATTCATGAGTATGATTGTTTGTATCAGTCTGGGTGTTTTCTATATACATATATAAATTTATATAAAAAAATATCTGTGTATTTATATCAGTTGTTTAGTACACATAACACAAGCTCTGCTTAGCTTCTCTTAAAACGATTACTCTTCAACCTCTCAAAATTCGACTTTCAAACTGAGAAGACGTATTTTATTACCTACCTATACCTCGCTATACATTATTCACATACTTATGCGGGTTCCAGGCGTCGTAGTAGCTCTTGAAGAACTTGATGTGCTGTAAGAAGTCGTCCAGCACGAACTGGCTCATGGTGGGAAGCGACGCCAGCTGCTGCATGTCCAACCACATGCGTGTTGATATCCACTTGGGTTCGGGGTTATCCAACTCCTGAAATAAAACGTTCTTTAAAGCATAAAAAAAATATTCTCCAAGTCTGTTAAATAAAAAATACATCCAGTCAGTGCCAAAATTACTAGTCCGTGTTCTCACTTCCGGTTTTTCGAAAACAAGATGGCGGCTTATGAACAGTGAGTAGGTATAATGTCACGCTTTCACATTGTTTTCCTATCTAGTACCAGACCTACACACATTCACATGACCTATCTAGTACCAGAATTCATGATATTATGAATGTATTTAATAAATTCTGTATGTTATATATTTTATATTTATTTATAAATTAATATAAAAATAAACTATTTTCTTTCTTTATTAGCAATCTGTTCCAGATCACTTGAACTTGCTATTGTATGGGAGAAGTGTACCTGTTCAATCTTAGCTCCGTTTAGTAGGAAGTTAAAATTTTCATTCTTTCTTTATTAGCAATCTCTTACAGACGATCTGGACTTGCTATTGTATAACGTTTAGTAGGAAGTTAAAATTTTCATTCTTTCTTTATTAGCAATCTCTTACAGACGACCTGGACTTGCTATTATATAAGAGGAGATGCGTACCTGTTCAATCTTAGCTCCGTTGAGTAGGAAGTTGAACTCGTGGCTGCGAATGGTGCCGCGGTCGAGTAAAATACGCGCGCAAACCACGAACGCGAACACTAGCTTGTGACGCTCGAACAGACTGCGGCACACATTCACGTACAGAAGGAACGTGAAGTGATCGATGATCGTCTGCACGCGCTCCACTATGTCTTCTATAATACAGAACAAACAAACGTGCTCTTATATACTTTACTAGCAGTTCCGGCCACTCGTTGATGTGGCTAAGGTTCTTGAATAAAATTATATTGTGACTATAAATTGAGATGTAATCTATCCTATCTTTCAAGTTGGATCAAATTGCACACAATGTGCAAATTAAATTTGGAATCGGTTAAGTTTATTTGAATAAATGATTTTCTATTCTATTCTATTCTAAGAATAAAATTATATTGTGACTAGTAGTTTAGGAATCCATCGCGGATAAACAACGTGACTTGTAATTTTTATATATAAAGATTTATTTATTTACTCATTTAATTCGGATATACATCCATATTATGTTAGTAAACAACTTTTAAACTAATAATAATCCCAGGACAATTCACACAGCGCCATCTAGTCCCAAGTTAAGCTACCTAAAGCTTGTGTTATGTGTACTAGATAACTGATAAATATATAGATATATATTTTTTCATATATACATATATGTTATATATAGAAAATACCCAGACCGATACAAACAATCATTCTCAGGAATACAAATGTTTGCACTGTGCAAGGAATCGAACCCTTTACCATCGGAAGTAAAGCGGTGTGCTAAACCGCTAGACCACCGAAACCATCCGTATATAAGATATATAAATTATATATATGTAGTTACCATTGGGCTCAGTCTCCGCCATGCTGCGTACAAACAGCTTGACGAACCACTCGAGAGAATACTGGTACATGGGGTCAACGTTGGCCATCCCAGACAAGCAGAAGAACAGAATCTGACCACGGTTGGCCACTGGCACATAATCCGCACGCGCCACGTCTATCTCTATTGTTGTTCTCTCTATATCCTCTACTTTTATCTGAAGAAAACAGAAATATAAATAATATTTATTCAAATAAACTTAACTTAGGTGGCGCTATATGATTTGTCCTGAGATATTATTATTATTACATAGAAAACTATTATCACTTATGACCAGGTCGCCCAATAGCTTGTTTTCCACTTTATATTTCTATGAATTATAGATTTCTTTTAATTAAAACGGATATTTACAAATACTTCGTTCTATTCATCTAAGAATAATATATTGTATATAAAAACAATGCAAAACATATAACGACACAAGTAGTTATATGTTTTGCATTGTTTTTAGAACGGGTGGAACAAATACATATAGGACATCAAAACTATTAAAAAAACCAATCAACGTGAATAACTTTTACTAAGAAACAAAGTTGAAATTTGACAATAAAATTTCTACTGTCATACTAGTCTTGACGCCTTCTGTTGATCGCAGGATCGATTCCTCGCACAGTACAAACATTTGTATTCATAAGTATAAAAAGCGGACGGACGCGTACACACATACATCCACCGACACAACTTAGTAAATTACAACGCTACGAAACTAGGGATTGTTCTTAGCAACCATTTGCTATATATTTGTAAAGATAAAATCAGTGAAAACTTACAATTATCTCAGCACTTTTTATCTTGATCGCTTCCAACGTCAATATGAGCGGCAGATCATCTACTGGAGATCCTTCGCTATTGGACAATCCGTACAGGATATCCGCCTGCATCTCGGCCAGCTGAGACGCGAGCTGTGCCCGTGATACGATCAGCTGACCGCGCAGCTCTTCTAGATCTGGACGCTCTTGAGCCACCACGATGGACAGCAGCTGTTCTGCTAGGCCACTGTAAGAAAAATAAAACATTTTTTTTATAACTGGATCCCTCATCTCGTTTTAAATCGTAATTGTTCTATATCTTATTATTTATAAATGAATTGATGGATGTTTACTCTTTCACGCATAAACTACTGAATACATTTTAATCAAATTTTAGTTGCATGGCTTATAGATCAGAATAATAGATAGATATAAATATAGATATAACTGTTATAACAGTGATTGTTTTTATATGTCCCTTGCATGTTAAATAGTAACGAATTGGTCGTATTTTTTTTTTATTACAATCGATTCATGCAATCGTACTTTAATATTTATGGGGAGTGAATGGAATTATTTTCTTATGCCCCGCCAGCGTAAACCATTAGCGCAGGCACTCCATTCCATTATTATTCCTTAAAAAATATCTTTTCTAATAATAATGACGTCATCGGATTCATCTAATGATGTAAGTATGTATCAATAAATTATCTCTCTAATACAATACCTTCGTATTGTATTAGGAGATCAAGAATTAAAGAGCATGATGGAAGATCGCGGAAAGAGCAAGGGCAAGCCCTCCACCGACAAGAGCATAGCTCTTAAATTATGAATGAAATTCAATACCTGGGTACTAAAGCAAAGTTGACGATCTGCACTTTGACTGAAGTCTCCGGTGTATACCGAGGATTTGGTAGTTTCGTGGTGATGTACAGTCGGAAACCAGGCATGAAAGGGATCAGCGAGTCGCCCAACTTCAGCACCAGTTGGCCAGCTTGACGAAAGTACTGTCTCTGTTGATTTGAAATGGCCATAACGTGATTATATTTATGACTAACTCTCCAGATATGAAACCAAATTATGCATACGCATCTAATCGGATTGAACAAAGATCGAATGCATAGCGGTTTTTATGTTGATTGTCGCATTCCTAATCTTTGTTGATACAAATCTACTTAAAACAAGTTTTATTTAAAAGAGCAACATACGAGTTTCTTGCTCATTCTTCTTGTGAACACTCTGCGTTCTGAATGACTGGTAGAATAAAAAAAAATGTGACTATTCAAAAGTGCTTATTTGAATTAATATCAGAAATATAAATATATTTCTGATATTAAACAGCTACAGTCTACAGATAGCTAAACACCACATGTGTAACAAACGTATTACTTACACCCTTTTAACAAAAACCTCATGCAGTATTCTCTATAGAAGTTTTTTGTTAGAATCCTAGTATAAAAAGAAAAGAAAACCTCGGCAGGTAATTCAAAGCAGTAATCTATGCGTACACGTAAGGAAAATTGATTTTATTTCAATACGATTACTATCAGATGGAGTGCAAACTTTATTGCCAGGTTGCAAGTTATGTTTTTTTTTTCTACGTATGTACGAAGGTAGTATAAAAAAACATAAACAATAAGACTTGCAGATATTACCTTAAGAACCGGGTCAAGCGCTGGATCCAATTCTTGACCAACATTCTCCAGCAGGATAGGTTTTCCAAATCGCAATGCAGACTCGAAGTTCCTCAACAGATCGCTATCATTTGGTTTGCATACCACTAGACCCTCAATTTTACCCTGTAAAAGATAAATACTAGCTGCATACCGCGACGCTACCCGTATCGTCTACATAGGTCTAATCCAATCAAAAATGATTTATTCATGTAGGACGTGTTAGGCGTTTCTGAACGTAAATGAAAATCAGCGTCGTGGCTTTTGTCATGGCATAATGCTGAGATGGGCCCCTTACACACACATCAGTACAGTGACGCGGTGACGATGCTCCGCAGTGGTTGATAGGAAATGCATTTTTTACTTTATTATTATTATTGGTTTGTTACTATGTTGTTCTTTTATTTATTATTATTATTTTTTTTTTCTTTGTATATAATGATTTCATCCCTAATTTAATGAATTATTTTTATTTACGGTTTTCTTATATAATAATTTATATGCAGCTGTCGGCATCGTGTTTTTTATTGTGTTGAGATGTGTGATGTAATAAATAAATAAATAAATATTTTTTTTTGTAATATTATTCCCTACCAACCAGTTCAATATGCAGATTCAATTGAGAAGAACTAGCAAGAAACTCAACTGAATTCCTTTTTTTTAAAGCAAGTTTATTTACATTGTGTGTTTATGTAGGTGTCTATGTGTAACATTAAATGAAAATCCCGTGCATGAACAACTATTGGCTTGCACGTGTGTCATTCCAGTAATAGTTTAGTATGTAATAGGCTTTGCTCACTAAATACGATATTAAAAAGTATAGGTGTTGTGGTACAATAGAGATGTATATAATTTGCTGATGCAGTGTGTCAGGAACAAGAGTCTACGACATAGAATGACGGCAGACTATAGAATAAATATACTGAATGCTGGTGCCATACAAAGTGTCTTATCCTTCAGATAGTGGGACTAATTTGTTCACTGGTGAGGTAATGCAGTAATTAGTTTTAGGATACAATGGGACTGGCATGTACTTTTAGATTACAAAAGTCACTAAAATTTAAAAGAAATAAAAAAAGTATAGGTGTGATGTATAACAGTTACCATGGCTCGTATCCACTTGTTGGCCTGCGTCTGAGGGTCGATGATGAGCGGCCAGCGCCGAGAGTTGGACATCAGCACGGCAGACTCCACCGATAGCGGGTCGCGGGGCAAGCCATACATCTGCCATGTCCTGACATCAAATACCAATAAAATGCTTTAACTGTAATCTAGAAACTTTGGAAATGCGACTCTGAAGTTTTAAAAATAAAGTCTATATTCCAAAATTAGATACAAGTCATACATCTGCCACGTCCTGACATCAAGTAGTACAGTTACTAATAAAAGCTGCTCCTACTATAAGACTAGACATCGTGAAAATAAGACTTTCTGTTTTAGAAATAAAGTCTATTTTCAAACATTAGATATTTCGATAGCGGATGCCGTAGCAATCCATACATCTAAAATGTTCTGACATTAAACCGACAATTAAAACTATAAACTAGATATTCGAAATCAATTAAGTAGGAAATAAGTATTACATTCATGTTCAATGATGCCGAGTCTAGATACATCACTCTGATAGATCTATGACCACAAATGTACTAATAATGGTAGGTACTTATGTTCGTTTTATGTATGTAATTTCCGTAGTAGTACTAACCTAATCTGCACCGCATCACCAAGTGTCGACAGCGGAGTTGCGCCCTCCGTGTGAGGCACTGCCACCTGCTAAATAATGATAAAAAAACATAATACATTTGTTATTACCTAGTTTTTTTTACACACAGAGACACAAAAGGTACGATATGGTGACACATAGGATGCGATATAATGACACAAAAGGTGTGTAATATTGTATATATTGCGCGGGTCTATCTCAATAAAGTTAGACGTCAGTCTGTTTGCCCTGCCGGTTGTATAAAATTTGTTTTTTGTTTCTAGGTTATAATAAAATACTCACCTCCATATGTTTCATCCATTCAGCGAGCAGTTCCCGCCGGAACTCGTCTGTGAATGGCGTCACGTAGCCCACCGCGCCTGCAGTAAGTACAACATTCTAATACGATATCCAAACTACTAAGAGTTAATTCAAATACAAATTCATAATATTTTTATTTATATAAATATTGTGACCTACATGGATATAGTACCGTCCGTCAGTACTACCGTCAGTTCGGAATAATTTCGAGATGAGAAGATCTGACAAAATTTTGATGAAATTTTACAGTAATATGTTTTATACATCAGAATGAAATAGGCTAAAATATCAAACGGGCGAGGCCGTAGGCACAGCTAGTATTTCAATAAAAATAATACTCACACGCGCTGAGCAGTATATCACCAATAAGATTTACAATATCCACATCTAAATCCTTTATAGTTTTGATCCAACGGACTCGTTCACTGGACAGGCCGTTTAGAAGTCTGCAACAATATATTTTTTAACTGGATTTACAATCTGCAGATGAAGAGGAAACGCCACTACATCTTATGAGACGGCCTCGGTGGTACAGCGGTTTGGCACAGCGCTTTACTACCGATGATCGCGTCTTCGATTCCTTGCACCATATATTTGTAATCATGAGTATGATTGTTTGTATCGGTCTGGGTGTCTTCTATGTATAGTATATACGTATTAAAAAAAATTTACAGTCTGTTTTTTAATCTCGACTACTAATTTGACAGGTGTAAATGTAAAATTTTCAAATGTTGCCTGCGATACCGATTTATTGAATTTAATTGAATAATAATTTTTTATTCATATTCATTCATTCATTAATAATTATTTTTTAAAAAATATTTTTTTTTATTTTGTGTGAAAGCTTTCTACGTTGTTTTCACTAAATGTTTTCACATTTTATGTATGTATACGTCCGGCCGTTCAGAGTTTGCGTTTGTGAGAGGTCGGGATCGAATGGGCTATGTGACTTTACACTGACGTACAGTTTACGGAAAATTTTTAAATATCTTTCATTTAAGGCAAATGAAAGATATTTAAAAATTAACGAGTGATAACATTAAAAAATGTAATAAAAAACGTATTAATTTTGGGGTAATCTAAATTGTAAAAACAATAGTTTTTAAAAGTGGTTTAACCACATCAAACTACGCTGTTTGTAACTTAAAGCAGCGCAGTTTGATGTTTATCAACTGTTTGTTTTTGTAGTGATGTGACCAAATAAATCTTTTAAAAACTATTGTTTTTGTAAAATAGTTAATGTTAATAATTTTAGCCCAAAATTATTACGTTTATTGTAAGTTGGAATAATAATTATTTTTTTAGTTATCACTCGTTAATAAGATATATAAAACAAAATTAACGCGCACGAGGGAAGGGGATTGTTAGTAATGAGTCCACTCATGATCCCATTATTAGCAATGTACCATGTCGGGTTGACCTCCACGCGGTTTCCAGGAGGATAAATTCAATTTGTCACGATGGGGTAACTGACCTGACCTCATGTTCATCTATCAGCGCGCAGGCTTTTCAGTGTTAAATCGCGCGTGAAGTGCAGCTTATAACCGTACCTATTAGCGCGGTCCATTCTAGCGAGACACTGGTTGATGTCTTCCTCCATTTTGCGTTTCTCGTCCTCCTTCTCCTGCAGGTAAGCGTTTAGTTTCATGATGCCCTCCAGTAGAGCTTGCATTTTGGCTTTCGCATTTGCCAGCACCGCTGCATGAATGATAATTATAGTCCATTAATTGAAGAACTCGTTAAGGCCTTACATTGTTCCGGCTCAAAGGACTATAAAACCAGTATTACACATACACATAGTGTATGTACAACACTGGTATTAGAGTTCATTCAAGTTGGCATATAATGTGTTGGGTGAAGTACCTTCGACAGCGGCCAGTTCGTTGGTGGCCCGCTCTAGAGCCGCCTTCTTGGGCGCGACCCCCTTGTTGACATGGTAGAACTTGTACATCGCGTGCACCCACATACACAGAGACATGCACGCCTTCGATACCTGCACCGCACGGAAGAAAACAGATAGTTACCATTATATCTTCATAGTTACAAGGACTATATGGACGAGGAATATTAACATTGTGGCCCGAGTCCCCACCAATATGCTATCCACCTTCATGAATGGAAGGAAGACTGCTGGCGGAATGGGGAGGGTGTATCGGCGCTATCGTGGCAGATTACCGTCGTCAGAGTTGGGACCACAAAGACAATATATTAGTATTATTATTAATAGTATTATATGTATGCTAGTCTATAAAGAATTTATAATATACCTAGTAGCCTGAAATAAATAAAAAAAATAGTACAGAGTGTCCCATAAGTCCTTTGAAATTTAAATTTGGAATAAAATGCAAATGGAGGAATGGCACGCGTGTTGCGTGGGGAGCACCAACGATCTTTCAGATTTCAGTCGCCTTGGAGCGTTTCACCGGAGCGGACCGTGTTTCTATGTGCGTGACTTTTAACACAAAATGATTCAGCCACGGTTGCGCGACGTAAATTTCGAGAACAACGCAAATTACACAGCTTTAATGACTGTTCTACATAGTATATACATAGATATATACATATAAGACGAAGTCACTCCGCATATGAGCCGTGATCGGTAACTGTCGCGGCGCTAGTATTCTGTGTCAGTTAAAAAGTCAACACGTACGGGTTCGTGTCCTTATGCATTTGCCCTGATAGTAAGCATACCTTTAGAATTTTAGCAGGCTCATAGTCGGGGTTCTGGATGAACCGTTTCAGTTTCTTGATCATATCTTCAGTGATAGACTCCTTATCAAACTTCATCAAAGAGTCCAGGAACGCGGTGGGGTCGGCCAACATTTGGGAGCCCGGTTTCCAGTAGTTCAATACTTTCTCGCCGAATGACGCACCAGCTTCCTATTGAGAAGAATTGATAAAAATATATAAAAAAAACAAGTTAAATATGTATGATAAAATGTATAAAAAATTCATTCAGCGACAGCTAGTATATATATATAATGGGTACAAAATAACTTATATTTTTTTTACATACAGCAAATACAATAAATTGTATTTGCTGCTGTATATATATATATATATTATTTGGATACATATATCCAATGAATATCTCATTGTCATTTTCACTAAAATTGAGACATTGCATCTCATTGCATCTCTATGTTCGGATTAATACCAGCTGTTGAATTTAACCATTGCACTACTCACCAATAACTAAAATACTATCCTGATCATCTCGAGGAATGTCGTTCTTCCACTTTTCATTAATCGAGAAACATTTCACACATTACATAACACATTGTGGTATCACCTTCCAACAATGGTATTTCAAGAATTACCATGGTTGGAAAGCAATTCGTCTGATGTTACGGGTGCTCATGAATTGCGGTAATCACTATATCATCATGATATCTTTGGGGGAGGCCTATGTCCAGCAGTGGACGTCTTCCGGGCTGCGATGATGATGATGATGACTATATCATCAGGTGAACTGTAAACACGTTTGTCCTCTATACTATAAAAAAATGTTATTATAGGGTACAGTACCTTGACAGGTTTAATGTCAAACACGACACATAGCGACTCGATGACGAGAACAACGCCAGCGGGCGGCTTCTTCAGCGCCTTCACCTCCACTACATCGTTGCGGTTCAACTCCTGCAGCGCTTTCTCCGCTGCACGCAGCGCCGGCATCGCTTCGTCTATAATAACATAGCATAAAATGAAGTCGCTTCTGCTGTCTCCCTGCTCGCGATCTTTTAAACTATGCAACGGATTTGAATGCAGTTTTCCGCAATACATATATAGTGATTCAAAAGGAAGGTTTATATGTATAATATATAGAATGTGCGAAGCCGGGGCGGGTGCCTATTAATAATATACCCTTTCTTGGATCAATAATTTTAATTTCAATGTAAAAAAATATTGATAAATCAGTCCTTCATAATAACCAGTTAGCTTTAAAGCTACTATATACAAATAACCGTCCATATAGACTAAAAAGAACTCGCCTTACCAACATCCGAAGAAATTAAATGAGATGGCACTCACTAGATGTGCCTCATCTCCAAATGCTCATTACATCACACGATCTGATTATAGCTGGAAAGGCTGATTGCAGATAGAAAAGAAAAAAAATCAGTCATTCAATACCTAAGTCCCTCTGCGCATCCTCCGCCATTGCTGTAGTTTCCTGCGCCATTTTCTCAGCGATCGCCTGCTCCTTTTCCACTTTAATTCGAGCTTCCTCTGCTATTGCCTAAAAATGGACATATAGGTGCAAAATAGTAATAAAACAAATAATAGTAACACAGGTGAACAGCCTACCAACGACTTCTTCATTAAATTGACGACCTCGGTGGTCTAGCGGTCTAGCACACCACTTTACGACCGATGGTCGCGGGTTCGAGCTAGTAATAAATATACCTAACATAAAGTTAGGGAAAAAGTATATGTGGAAGCGTAAGGTAAAAGGTTAGTTCAATCTAAATGCTTTCAAAAAGTATTTTCTGGGTTCTTTAACAAGTACCAGTGTCCAGGTGTTGTTTTCACTTGCCTGCTCACTTAATTAATCACTCACTTTGCGATTAATTTTCATTCTAATTAAGAAACGTACTGGAACGGTACCGTAACGGAACGGCGCGTGCGCGTAATGTGGTCCGTGGCAGTCCGTACTGTCATAGGTAAAGAAAAAAGAGCGCTCTCTCTCTCTCTCTCTTCCCACATGGTGGTGGGGTCAGCTTTCCTTATTCTTCTCCACCACTTTACCCTCTACCGGCCATCGTCCTCAGAGACCTCGCACTTTATCACATCCCTAGCAACTACATCCTCCCACCCCTTCCTTGCCTACCTAAGATAGTTATCTGCAGAACAAAGACTTATATAAACTTAACAAAAGAAATAAAAGTTTGACTTGAAGACTTATCGTGTTACATACGTCTTCAATAAGAAATCTTATACTATACCCAAAACCGTTGACAAATAAATCAAATGTTAGTATCATTATTATCTCACCGTGTCTATGGCAATCTGCTCGATGACCTTCCTCGTCTCGTCGGCAGCTCGCTCCATTAGCGGCTTCAGCTCGGCCAATTCTATTTGTAACTCTTTCACCTCCACTTCAGTCTGGTTTAATTTGTTTAATCCTAATAGTGAATCAAATTATTTATTCATCTATTCATAGGACATATTAACCGTTTATGGACGTCAAGTTTTTGTATTAATATTTTTTCCCTACAGTCCAGTTCAATAAACAGATTCAATTTAGAACAACTGGCAAGAAACTCGACTGATTTTCTTTTGTTTTAAGTCAGTTTATTTACAATGTATACTTATATAGTCTATGTCTAACATTAAGTGGAAATCACGTGCATGAACAACTATAGCCATGGAAGTTTTCACTTAAAAAGTGTCATCTGAATATATTTTCATACTACATGGTAAACAGGCATAATATTGGATTGAATGGTAGACTATCACAATACATACTAATATTAGAAATGTGAAAGCGTGTCTGTCTCTCTGTTAGTTACCATTCCACGATTCAATCGCTGAAAGTATCTTATGAAATTTAAAACAATTATAGATTAGTTTGACGGCCTCTGTTTATGTAAATATTTTATTCAAATAAAATCAATACAAGCACTTTTGAATAGTCATATTTTTTATTCTACCACTCATTCGGAACGCAGACTTATCATAAGAAGAATGAGTAAAAAACTTGTGTGTTGCTCTTTTGAATAAATGTTTCCATATATATTAAAAATATAATTATCTAATTTACATCAATATCTGAAGCGGTTATATACAGAATAATGAATTAAATGGTGTTGGTACCTGTCTTGAGGGCGTTGGATTCAGCGAGAATAGCCTTTCTTTTCCTGCGGAACATGTCCTGATAGGCGGCAAGCATCTCCATGTAGGACATGGGCGTGACGTAGTTGAGGCGATTCAGCCGCGCCAAGAACCTCGCGCTCGCCTCCACCACGCTCTGGTGCGCGAAGCAGCACACCGACTATCACCACACACCACCACATCATCACAAGTTATACATTTATTAATTTATTTCAGTTGTTGTTCAGGTGTTGCGAGACAGTAATATGATGTCGGTTGAGACGATGTATGCAGAAAGTGAAGTAACAATTGTACATTAAAATATCAATATTATATACTAAATAGCAATATTAAAATATAAGATGGATTGACACGATTTGTGCAGTGCCCCATTTTTTTTTAATGACGACAATGGAATGGCGTCCACGCCTACGCTAGCGGTTTACGCTGGCGGAGCGCCAGTGGAGGATGATAAAATGAGCATAAGATAAGGTTTGGTTAGCCCATTGTGAGATATTCACTAGGAATTATCATGATGGTTTCCAGGGGGGAACCCTGAGGGGAACTATAGGGGGGGGGGGGGTTATCTTTTGAAGATTTTTACACGATAAAAAAGGCGTGTTGCCTTTTTTATCTCATCAATAGCAAATCCAAAACTTCATGATCATCCTATCACCATAAACAACTGAGTACTAACCACCATAGCTGCTATAACCTCATCGGTGGTCTGCAGTTCTCCCATGTTATGGAAGAAGTGGGTAGCGACCGACTCCAGGGCCGACTTGGGCCACTCGCTGAACCAGTCTATAGTGCAGCAGTTCACCAGCGACGGAAACTGACGGAGCCGGGCGCGGAATATCTGTTACACACACAATTATTGCGGAATTCTAGACGAACTTCTTAGCATTCCATGGATTCACCGTGCGGGTACCGAGTCCATCGTGTGGCAGGGAGGGAAACTTCGAGCAGTTCCCGGGAGTGTAACCCGGGCGTTTGTTTAAGGAGCCCCTTGCCGACGTACGTCGACACTTAAGTTCACCGCTCGTGTTTCTCTCCCCGCCCAGATAAATCTGCTAAAATCCTGCTAGTGCAGCTTTTGATACACATCCTAGTATATAACTTATTGCAGTTCAAAACAGGCCAAGAGCTTTTAGAAGATTGTTGTGAGATTTCTCTATCTCTCTCTCTTTTCTCTCTCGCTCCCACATTAATAGCATATAAATTAACCATACAGCCATTTTTCGATTCACGTGTGTATTGAAATAACGACTTTAAAATCTAAAGTTTAAAGACGATTTTGAATAATTTTTGTATTGAGTTACTACTATTTTTATTACTAGGTAAGGTTAACTCTCAAACAATTCTTATTGATTATATTTCTTTCGAATACTTTTAATATTTCGTGCCTTATACAGCAATACCAATACCATGCTTCTGTATAAAACATAATAATACCCACCTCTCCAATAGGGCTCATAACGATGACAATGTGCAGGTTACTCCGCACCCTGCGCTGGTAGCAGGCGAACAGGTTGGTCTTGGTGGCAGGCAGGCTCATCTCCATGACAGCGTGCCGGACCGCCATGTAGATCTTGTCCAGGTCCTCCGCCTCGTAGATGTTGGGCACGTCACCGGAACTTAGAATGTTGTTCAGATCCTCGAGGAACGATTCCATTTTGATCTAAACATCCATCCATTTCACCCCTTAATTAATTTATATTATTTTGTTTACTTCCGCTACAATTAGCATATGTGAGATCACAAATATTCAGTTCGGAAACTTGACTATTGTTATGACCTAGATGATCAAATTCCGACCGTTATTGACTCTACACCCATATTGCGACATATGTTTCGCCTCTGAACGAGGCATCATCATCAGGCATTGAATAGAGTTCAGATATAGCTTGGAAGCCTAGTATTGACTGTTCGGCGACCAAGCCGCGACGCTTTGGTACATGAATAATAGAATATATACCTGTTTATTTAAAAAAAAAAACAAAACAAAATGCTCAGAATGTTGTTGAAGTAATATTTGAGAAAGAATCAATTAGTCTAGTTCTCCTTTAAGAGCGTATAACCTGTGCATCGGAGAATAAAAAGACAACGCCCCTGTTGTCTGCGCCGGCGCGCAGCATGGTCTGCCGGAGGTCGTCGCGCCATTCCAGCTGGCCGTATGCCTTTGTGATCTCGATTTGGATACACTGCAACTCCGCCATGTTCGCCGCCAGTCTGGACAGGCTCTGACGACCTGGTGACATCATTTTTTTAACTAGTGCAGTAGCTATTGTTATTTTTTTAATGGATGATAATTACTTGCCAATACTTGTAATATTTCTGTCAACACTTGGCTCACTCCCATTAGTTTACCTCTCCGGATAACATAGATTTAAATTAAATGTAATGACAGTCCGTATTACGACTCCAAGTAGAATGTACGCGTTACCAATCAGCGGTGCAGCACACTACCATATAAACTTACTAATGTACGATAAACAGTACAATTATATCACCGGTACACTCACTACCTGGACTATACTACTACTCTAATAAACAATATATTATATAGCGACACTTCATTACATCATATATAACGTTCCAGTGGTGAGGTGATAACCACCGCGCTATAATGGCATTACGGAAATTGCATGGACACTTCCGCACAATGTCCGTAATGCTGATCATGTCATGCGATGGTTACCACTCACCATCAGGTGGACAGTCAGTTTATTTGACTAGAAAGAAAAAATATAACTTCTTACCAGAACCACCCATGCCAAGCAGTAATGCGTTGGCCATTGGCTGCCGCATGATGCGTGCCAAACGGCACAGATGCGAGACTGCATCTTCGAATAGCACCAGGTAGAGAGGAACGGTCGTCGTCAGGTTGTATTCATGCAGATAATGAGATAAAACCTCATCGAGCTGAGAAACAAAAAAAGGCGTATATATTTTCAACCAAACATTTGCCGTATGTTACCAAAGATAGTAAATGGAGGAGGAAACGCCACTACACATCCTATGTGGTTGTAGCCTATTCATGCACGAACGATTTTTTTCTTTTGAAACACACTTTAGTGCACTCTATCCTAAGGACATAACAATCATTGCTCCTAAGAATATGGTTCAATTTTGCTCGCCTTTTTTCAGAGTTTGTTGCCTAGGCCCGTCAAATCAACGACGGGCTTAGGAAGCGAACTCTGAAAATAACAATAAGCGCGACCAATAGGAGCGGAGTTGCAATGAAAAATATAGCAAAATTCCCCGTTTTTTAAGTGACGTAGACGTAGTTGCGCTAAATAAAAAAATAAATAAGGAAAATTAAAATTAAAAAATATGCATATTTAATCAATTTTCTAGTACCCACACGACAAGCTCTGGTTAACTAGGAACTAGACGACGCCATGACAGTTGTCTTGGGTAATTATTATTATTACTTTGTGTATCTGTGGCTTGGAAATATATGACGCTACGACGTTTATGTTGAGTTAATAATCTGTGTTGAGTTTACCTCTTCTTTATCCGTGATTTCTATGTACTTCTTATCGTCAGCACCGATATCCATGAAGTCTCCAAACAGCATCAGCCGCCCGCCGACCACATCCGCAGCTTTCTTGCCGAATTCTGTGCGGATCTTCTTGTTCAACAATCTATTTAGATATTTTTTAAGTGATGATAATGAAATGGTATACCCGCCTGCGCTAACTATTTACCCTTGCGGGGCATTTAAGTGCTGATGATGATGTTAAGATGCACCGGCCTGCGCTAACCCTTACAGTGCATCAGTGGAGGATGATAAAATTAACATGAGGTCAGCTCAGTTAGCCCATCGTGACAAATTCACCAGGTATTAATCACTATGGTTACCAGGGAAAGCCGCGTGAAGATCGATCTGCATGGTACATTGCTAGCGACAAAGTCATCAATCCACATTACTAGTAATCCCCTTTACCTCTCTGTTTAAATATTAAACTACTTTTTCATAGATAAAGTGGTAAAATGACATAATTGAAGGTATAATTGATGACGGCCTCGGTAGCCTATTTAGCAAACTGCATTACTACCAGTAGTCGTGGGTGCGATTTCTCGTACGTTGCAAAAATTTTAATTCAAAAGTATGATTATCTAACGATCTATAATTTTTTTTTTTTTGTAACAGGGGACAAACGAGCATGCGGCTCACCTGATGGTAAGTGATTACCGCCGCCCATGAGCACCCGCAACACCAGGGGAAATACAAGTACGTTGTCGGCCTTTTAAAAAGGAATAAGCTCTTTTCTTGAAGGTTTCAATATCGTATCGGTTCGGAAATACCATTGTTGGAAGGTGATTCCACAATGTGGTTGTGCGAGGCAAAAAGTTTCTAGAAAACCGCACTGTGGAAGACCGCCATTCATCCAGAGATGATCATGATCAATTATACCAACCCCACAAACCACTGTCGATCTTCGTTATTAACCAGCCTGTCTTGATAGACGCGCTGGTGCTCGTGGTACCACAGTCTTATGACATCATCTTCATCCTACAAAACATGAAAAACAAATTAAAATGAGAGCGTCGTGGCCAAGTGGTTTACTTCCCTGAATTACGGCTAAGAGCTCATGAGATTAAATCTGGCAGATCTAGCTCTGCTTGGCTTGGGACTAGATGGCTGTGTGAGTTGTCCTAAGATATTATTATTATTTGAATAAAGATTATTGCTATTTATAATATATTGCAGAAAGTTTATCTAAATAGGAGACTTACTTTGACGGCATTGGGGTCCATCATCAAAATCCCCTGGAACACTTTGCTCAGATCCCGCAAGTTGAACGTATAGTGAGACTTGGTGGGTGTCGGCAGCAGTTCCTCCACCAGTGAGTGGAAGATGTCGATGGAGGCCTTCAGGAATGGACCTTCGCGGATTGTCACGTTGGAGAAATTCCTGGTCCACGATTTGAGAATGATGCTGAAGATTGCGTACTGAAAACGAAAGGTACCAAATCTTTGATCTTACTACAGCTAATTAACAATAATAGTAATATCTTAGAACACTAGTCCCAAACTAAGCAAAGCTTCTGTTATGTGTACTAGACAACTGATAGAAATTCATATTTTTTTTAAATACAGACTGTTAGGGAATTTACTCTCTGCTACCAAAATGTTAGGGAAAGTACTATGTATATATATAGGGAAAAATATGTGTGGAAAGCTAGCGAAGATATCTTCGAGACCCTGAAGCCCAAGAAATCCGAATTCCCAAACACAGACTATGTATAATATAAATAATGTACATAAAAAACACCCAGAGCGATACAAACAATCATACTCATGAACACAAATGTTTATATCTAACCCGCGACCGTCGAAAGTAAGGCTGCGTGCTAAACCGCCTAGAGATCACCGAGGTCGTCGATTATTTAATATTATTGATAAAATTATTTTTCTAAAATTAATTTACTACATTGTAATCTTATTGTAATTTAAGTTTCTAAACACGTCACATCACGTATTTGTATAGAAGGAGTGGGTTATGAAGCTGTTAAAAACCATCACCTGAATAATGAACAAACATAAAAGCGAGTGGCAAAATCGAAAGGCCGCCACGCCATTCTAAACACTATATCTACAAGCACAATCAATAAAATACCTTGCTGGAGTACTCCATCTCCGTGAAAGAGATGTAGTGGAAGTGCCTCATGAGTCGCATTGTGACCGGATTGCGGCCACCACCAGGCGGACCCATGGCCGCCACCAGGCCCACGTCCACCAGCTGCTTGAACTCGCCGATGTTCTGTCTGTCGTACCATCCTGGGTGATACAGTCATAATAATAAATCAAATCAAAAATCATTTATTCATGTAGGACATTTTAGCCCCTTATAAACGTTATTTTTTGTGTATTATAATAATTAAAAAAACATATCTGTTAACGGCAAGTATTAGTATTGTAATAGTAATATTTGCCGATCACTATAAAATTTTCAATTTTTATTCTCTCAATTTTTTTTTCATTCCACAACCTCTCCTATACTTGGATAAGGCCCCTATGAATGAGTATTAGTTTCTAATAGACCAATAAACTAAAGAAAAATAAGTATAATATTTTTTTTTGTCAGAAAACTTTCCATTTTGTTAATAATAATTACTTAACTCCCGTTAGTAAAAAAAATGTGGGACAACCCTTCAACGTATCGCCTTTCCCACCCAGTATCTCAGATTGGGATTTTACAGGACTTTCAGGACACTGTTGGAACTTGCCCGTACTCTACTTTACCTACTAAAGGTGTGGTTTTTGCTGCTTTAGCTTACGCCGTATGATTGACGTTTTGATTGATGTTATGATTGGTTGTTTTAAGAAAAGGTTAAAATCGCATTATTTATCGACCTTAGTATGATTAGTTACATCATGTATTTTATTATTTGTATTTTGTGTAATATATGTAGATATCTATAGTAATTGTATAGGTATTTGTATATATATTTGTATATATATATGTATATATATATAACTTTTACAACTGTTTAATATATTGACTATTCTATATTTTATTATAATTCTAATATAATTAGAACATTATTTAATTTGTTGAATTTTAAATGTTTTATTTTTCTCAACATTTGGATATTTCAACATAATATTGTTAATTGCACAGGTGTTACCTACTCACTACTAGCTATGCCACATTGTTGGGTTGACTGGTAGAGATCTCTCTTAGAGATAAGTCCACCTTTGCTCACTCTGTAAATGTTTAGGTTTAGAACTGTATTTAAAAATGCAATAAAGAATATATATAATGAAATACAAGTCGGTGCGCTTTATCAAGAGCAGCCGAAGTTGAGGTCGTGGAGTGAGGTCGTGCGTACCCGAGGAGTCCATGAACTGTCGCAGCAGCTCGAGGGGCGGCTGCGCGCCGTAGGGCTCCAGCGCGGGCATGTTGAGGTCGTCGATGAACAACACCTGCCGCTTGGTCGGCGGAGGACCGAACACGCCGCGACGTCTCCGCTCCAGCTTGTTGTCGATTACGTCCTGGAGGTTCGTTACTATTACATCTTGACAATTCACACGGCGCCATTTAGTACTGAGCTACGCAGACCTCGTGTTATTGATCTTATTGTGTTTATATATTTGACCCTAATAAATTAGTGCCGGTTGGTAGTTTGTATTCACACGATTCGACTTGTAAAATGTGAACTTACAAGGATTATTTAAAAGAGCAGCACACAAGTTTCTCGCTCATCTTGTGATGAGACAGCTTTGCAAATTAGCAGAAGAATGATATAATGATGAATAGATTTAAAAAATAGTTATGACTATTCAAAAGTGCTTAAATTAAGTTTATTTGAATAAATGATTTTCTATTCTATTCTGGTACCCAAGAACTGATACATATTTTATTTACATAATATACATAAAGTTCTGAGCGTCACGACTTATTATATCTCAGGACACGCACACAATAAAATCTAGTACCGAGAAAGCCTTGCGTTATTAATACTAGACAACTGATATAAATACTGAGATACAATATTTATTGTAAATACATAAATAGTACACATAGAATATACGTGTGCGAGGAATCTAACCCGCAACTACCGGAAGTAAGGCGGTGTGCTAAACTGCTAAACAACTGAAACCATCAACAAAATACTACTTAAAAAGTAGATTATGAAATAAACAAAAGAATCGGGATTTACCACCCTTAACACTTAAGGGTATGAAAAACAATTTACGTCCTATTCTCAGACTTACTGAATACATATAAAATTTTCGATTGTTATATATAAATACATACATAGCAACACGTGTAACATTCGAAACGCAGCTGCGCGACCTTCAAGCCGTTGTTACTTGCAGCTGCGCTTAAAAGCAACACGTGTAAAATCGTAGAATAGAATAGAATATATCTTTATTGCTAACTGTGTGGGTACATTTTTTTGTGGGTGGTATAACAATATATATAGCTATGTATCAACAGTTTCACCCTATCGGGTATGCAACAATTTACAACATATTTGATTTTAGATTATAGAATAAATTACATTAATTAATTATGTCATGGTATTATTATAAGTATATTGTCAAGAATGTCTATGAACTATATATTATTACATGTTTTCAAATTTCGTTATAGTACTAAAATATTCATTTATGTCATAAAATACATTGTCAAGCAGCCAAGCCCTTAGTTTAGCCTTAAACATTCGTCCACTTAGAGATTTTATGTCCAACGGAAGATGATTATATACTTTAACACCCATTACCATTGCACTTTTTCGATAAATATAATTATAAATTACCGGTAAAAATAAGTCATGTTTATGTTTCTGACGCAAGTTATTTCGCATATCCGATTTACTGGTGAAATATGTCATATTATTTTTAACAAATACACACAGTTCCATAATATAAATATTAGTTAGAGTGAGATATTTTCCAGTTTTAAATATGTGTCTTAGAGTTTCATCTGAATACATATTATAGATAACTCTTAAACATTTCTTTTGAAGCAGAAAGGTCGATGTAACATTCACAGAGTTTCCCCAGTATATAATTCCATACATTAGTAAAGGATACACACTACCAAAATAAGCAGTCCGAGCAACATCTGATGATGAGTTTTCCACTAATATAGAAAGAGCATAACACTGACTTGAAATCTTTTTATTAAGTTTGTTAATATGTGATTTCCAATTTAGATGACAATCTATGGTAACACCAAGAAAATTATTTTCATTTACTTCTTCGATTTTTGTGTCACAGTCTTTAATATTTAATTTGAAGGAATAATTTTTATAATTACGAAACTGTATAAATTTTGTTTTGTTGAGATTAACTTTAAGATTAATTGTTCTGAGCCAATCAACAACTCTTCTTAGTGTTTCATTTATTTTATTTTCAAATAATATTCTATTTTCACTATTGTCACTAATAAAAATTGTTGCATCATCTGCAAACATGACACAAAGATTATTCGTTATTTTCGGTAGATCATTTATGCTAACTAAAAATAGTAAAGGGCCCAGCACGCTTCCTTGTGGGACACCAATAACAGTTTTTACATAAGTGGAATGTATCTCTTCCATAGTGTTATTATTAGTATTTAACTTGTTAATAACAGTGAATTGTTGTCTATTATCTAAATAACTAGTAATTAATTTTAATGCTATGCCACGTACACCCACATTTTCCAATTGGTTCAAAATTATGTCATGATTTATACAATCGAATGCTTTCGACATATCAAGAAATAAAGCAACGCAGGAAGTTTTTGCATTTACGGCATCCCATACATCTTTTAGAATCCTGAATATTGCCAAATTTGTTGATTTTTTCTTTTGAAATCCAAATTGATTACTATTTAGTATATTATTGGCTTCGAAGAAATTAATAAGTCTTAAGTGAATTACCTTTTCAAATATTTTAGAAAATGATGGTAGCAAAGCTATTGGTCTGTAATCATTAACATTTGATCGTTTGCCCCCTTTAAATAATGGTTTTATTTTAGCTAATTTTAATTTTTCAGGATATATACCAGTTACAAGCATTAAATTTAAGATATAGATAAGAGGTTCAATTATATAATTTAAAGAAATTTTAATAATTTGAATTGATATGCCATCATAACCAAAAGATTTTTTATTTTTGAAGCTTCTTGTGATTTTAATTAATTCGCTACTGTCAACCGGTTTAAAAAATATGCTATTACAATTTTTATTAAAGGTTACTTTACTCAGATTATTATGAGAAGCTTGTAAGTTATTATTAAGAAAATAGTTATTAAAAGTTTCAGCTATAGTGAAAGCATCTTCTATAAGAACGTTATCTTTAAATATGTTATTTACTGTATTTTTTATATTGTTTATAGGAGTGGTTTGGTTTTTGATGAAATTCCAAGTAGTTTTGCTTTTGTTTGTGCTTTTATTAATAAAGTTTATATTATTATTTCTCTTAGCTACCCGAATTACGGATTTTAAAATTTTTGAATATTTTTTGTAATATGGAATAATACTAGTCGATTTTCTCTTCAGTATGTTATTGTATATTATTAAGTATATTATTAAGTATATAAGACCGAAATATTTTTACAATAAACTCCCCTCCCGATCCCCCGTCCCCCGTCCAATTCAAACGGGGATCGAAATTACGACGGCTTGAGCTGAGGTTCGAACCCCTAGTGGTGCCCTCAGACTAAAGTCGTATCCGTCAGGCAGGAGTTGGCCTCCAGCCGCTCCATAAGTCCTTCCGCAGGTTTGGAGTGCCATCTGCACTCGCCTCATAACGTCCGGTGAAGCTGTAAAGGCCAGCTGCGGCCAACAGCATTAGAGTAGTCCGAAAAAAAAATACAATAAACACACTTATATTCTGTCTCTTGGCTGTATCATTACAAGTTACCAGGTTCTCAACAAAGTAGATCATAACCCTAATCCAAAAGGACTCCTTAAACATATAAAACAATCGGTTGTTTCTGAAATGTTTCGTTACAAACACTGTGACACGAGAGTTCTATATATTATGAGATTACATTGCACCTGCGTCTGGTTGGCAGAAGTCCTGGCGGAGAAGACAATGAACTCGCATATGAACTTCTTGTGCAGTCCGCGCGACAACTTGGAGGTGATGGTGACCGTCTTGCCGGTGCCGGTGGGGCCGACGCAGATCACGTGATTGTAGTTCGAGACCTTGTAGCCGAGCAGCGCCGCGCTGCGCACGTTGTCCAGGGTAGGCACTTCGATGTCTAGGTGAAATTTAAAAATATATATAAATATAAAATAGAAAATTATTTATTTATATTGGACATTTTCGGCCTTTTTACGTTATTATTTTCGAACTTCTTTACCTGTTGACATAAATATAAAAACATGCTGTTATTTTGTCTTTCCTAATCGCTCCAGACACTATTAAATCTTAACATAGAGACAAACAATTCGAAAAATAGGCAGTTTTCGTTTCGTTGTGCATTTACGAACTATACTCTTGACGACCTATATACCTATACGTAAAGATACTGAAGTTAATTTAAATTATTTAAATATTATATCTAGGTATACTTAAATAATTTACAAAAGCTATTTTTACTCCAGGCAGAGTGAGCCGAATATCATTGTCTTCTATAAAAAAATCTAAGTAAAAGCAATATCTAATAACCATCAAAAGAGTATGTTGCTGTACACGGTGGAATTTTGAAAATTAAGATGTCATGGTGTAATTTCACTGTATTTCTACCGAAAAACAACTTCCCATCTGATTGGCGGCTGAAATAGGCGAGACAGAGGTACGCAGACGATTTTTCAGGTCTATCTCGGTGTAAATTTTACATTATATTAATGTATTGTACCTGCATACTGCCACTCGGGATCGACCTCGTACTCCTCCAAATTGGCCATCCAGTTATACCAGTACGGATTAGCAGGCTCGCCGTCCTCCGTCTGGTCCGTGAAGCCGCCGTCGTGTAAACTGAAATCGTATGAATTTTATATTAAAACTAGCTGTGCCTGACCGATACCGAAGACCGCTAGACCACCGAAGTCAAAATTAATGTAAAAATTATAATGAAATGGAAAACAGGGTAAAACAGCAAAATATACTATCAAAACATAATAGTTTTAATTGCACAGGTGTTACCTACTCACTACTAGCTATGCCACATTGTTGGGTTGACTGGTAGAGATCTCTCTTAGAGATAAGTCCACCTTTGCTCACTCTGTATATGTTTAAGTTTAGAACTGTATTTAAAAGTGCAATAAAGAATATATAAAACAGTAGGGTTGGCAACACTGCTCGTAGAGTACTAACGTGTAATCATAGACGCGGCCCTCGTTGGGGAAGAGCGGCTTCATGTTCGCGTTCTGCATCAGGGATCGCATGTGGTCGGAGAAGGCTGCGCGGCCGTTGTGGTCACACGTGGCGCCCACCGACCACACCACCGCCCACACCACCCAACACGGCGCCAGGCGAGCTGCAACAAGACGCCTCCAATTACAATTTAATCTATTTGCTTCTCACGTAGTACATGAAAGGTTTGGTGCGGTTCCCCACCGCACTAGGCCCGAAGAAGACGCAACATATTCCCGCGTGCCTTCTCCAGGAATGAAGGGTAAAGAAGTGGTATCCATAAGTGAACCCGCAGAGATGGGGCCCGCTGCTAGAGTGGGCCACTGCCGTCAGAGTCGTAATAGACCGACATCGATCCTTTGTCCTTCCTTGACCATTGTTGGACGAGGGACATGTTGGAGTTATTAGAGAGTAAGAGTCTCGCTGTACCCGCCTGATCTCCAGTAGCGGGTGGGTCTCCAGGAGGGATTTATAAAAAAAAAGGGTAAGACAGAATTACCCACGCAGGCGATTTTGTACAAGATCTTCTAATGAATAGTAATGATGAAATATATATTATGTAGATATAACTTGGTTATGCTACAGTATAAATGCTGAGTGGGAGTCACTTTCAGCGTTACTAGTAGGTTTGACTTTAAAGCTATATAGTACAAACATTTTTGGATAAATATATTTATTATTATTATTATTAAATAAATACTTGTGCCCACGGTTTCATCCGCGAGCAATTCATAACCTATGTGTCATTCTGATGTATAAGCTATATTATTGTAAAGCTTCATTACAATCTATGCAGTAGTTTTTGAAAATGTAACAAACTGCCATCCTTCCACAATCACAAACTTCCACGTTTATAAAATTAGTAAGACTAACGCATCAATGCCAGGAACGGTCCTCCAGGTGGTGGACGATCATCCTTCCCTGTTACCGGACGTAGGCGGTAGTCTAGTAGCTCCAAGAACTTGAGAACTAAGGCGCTATCGATGGAAGCCACCAACTCTGTCAGTCTATTGCGTACGAAACTCAGCGCGGGGTATAGGTACGTGTTGATCAGCGTCGGGAGGATCTTACGGATGTTATCAGCGATCTGCAATATTTTTATACTTGTAAGTGGAATAGCAAGCACTGCCATTTCAGAGGACTAAGATGTCAAACCTGTTACCCTGTAATTTCACTGTATGCGCGCAGGGAATCAATAATAGGCTCATAATGCATTTACAGCGGAAATGGCTAAAATCGAAAATGGTTATGACTAAAAGGAACAAGGGCTATCCTATGGCTAGGGATTGGCAATTTCTACCATCTACCTCTGAGTTTCTGATGTCTCATCCGAGTATCTTGAGCCTTGCAGTACTTCTTCACTGTCGAAGTTGTCTCCGGTCTCTCAGAGGGAAATTGACTGTATGATGTTTTCTGTATGTCAGCAGGGATGGGTAAGGTGATATCTCACACGCGGTAAAAATGGGTAGTTCAGTGTCGGCGTATATATGCGGAAAATATGTCCGACAAAAGCGACCGACGGTGTTACGTCAAAGACGTAGTCTTAGCGATTGAATGCTGAGAACGGGGCGTAAGAATATAAACGATTTAAGATAGAAAGATTATAAATTTATAATGGGTAAATAATATATGATGTCAACACATTGCCTAATCTGTACCCTACAACTTAAACGCAGAAAAGAAGAAGGTTTAGCTACCATAGCAAGTCATGTATAAACTAACCGGCGGCAGACAGTTCCTGAGCCAGGCGTTGACGAGCGGTGGCAGCCCCACCACGCCCGTGTCCAGGTACACCATGCCGCAGCGGGACACCGTGGCCGGGGACGCCACCGCCAAGTCCGCCACTTCGAAAATCATGCGCTGTCGGTCGGTCAGCTTCATGATCTCGCCACTAGATAGACATAACTTCTTGTTGTCATCTAGTACCTATATAAACGTCACGAATTATTTATACAGTTGATCAGTTGCGCAATTAATGTGATACCACTTGAAATTGAAATAAAAACTAGTACCGCTGCATCGACGTATCGTTTCTGAAACTTCCCAATAATAGAGAAACGTAAAATTAAGGGAATAACGTTCTTATAAGAGCGCGGACAAGTTCCATCAGTGTTCTGAAAAATAAACTGTCCCAATCTAAGACACTGGATGGGACAGACGTCAAGGGTTTTTTTACTAACATAGGTTAAGTTTTTAAGTTGTTACTAACTGTTTGTTGTTTGACAATAAATTATTACTATTATTAATTTTTAATTAACATAAAGATAAAAATAATGACATGATTAATGAATTTTATCATTGCGTCCATGTAAATTGGACGAAATGATAAAATTTATTCATATTTTTAAATTGTAGCTTATGTGTTATACTGAAGTATAAGCTACATTACAGTAAAGTTTTATCAAATTCCGTTCAGTAATTTTCGCATGAGTTTTTTTATTGAGGGGCTATTGTCAGGTGTTTAGACCTGTAGCACTGCGACCTAATTAGATCTATTATGCTCGCCTTTATTCCGTCAGGGACAAGAATTGAAGGATATTCTTTGAAAGAGTAACAAACATCCATCCATCGTTAGTAAGGTGAGTATTATATCAAACCTACGTACCGTGTTCATATTCTCAATCCAGACGGCGTCCACTGGTCCGTCGAACACATACCAACGCTTGTCGAGGTCGTCCACTGCGATGCCGCCGCGGACCAAGCTCGATAGGATACCGTCCGTCCTGCACATACAAACACATATACCTTCACGACGTTGTCCCTAATGGGGTAGTCAGAAAAGGTCGATGTTATGATGAAGGCAATTCCGGTAGATTTATTTAAATTCAACATGGCATAAGTAGGGGGTATCTTACCGCCATCTCTGGGATAAATTTAGAAAGAAAGAAAATTGTTTTTTTGGTACATAGCAATGCTGAAGATAATTTTTAAATTTTAATTTAGATTTTATCGGTTTATATTAATTTTAAAGTACCAAATAGGTCTCTAATTCACATTTATTATCGGCGCTTTCTTTACCAGAAAGTTAGTCAAAAATTATTTAGGTGACACAGACACATTTAATTCGGTAAAACAGTTCCTGAGATTAGCGTGTACAGACATGCAAACAAAAATTCAAATAAACTTCTCCTACCTACTGAGGTAGAATATATTTAATACTGATTAAATGTATTTCGTTAGTTACATTCACAACAACCTCCCGCTTAACCGACTGTATGTCGTCAGCCTAACTCACCATTCATGCGTTTGTAAGTCGAACTCTCCGTACAGCTGTCCCATTGTGATAGACTTGGGATTCACCACGTACGTATGTACTGGGGCGAACGGGAACCCATCTGGTGCTAATTTACCTTTTATTGCGGTCAGCGCATCTCTGAGTACTTCGTAACACTGTAACAAACACGTAAATTAAAAACCAGTCAAATGCGGGCTTAGCAGTTCGGTTTGCCCTCAAACACTTTAATAATTAATGTAAAACTACGTTAGTAATATTACGCATGTTATTAACTTATTATATATTGTTTATTATAGTATGCAGGTAGTGAGTATACCGGTGAAATAATTGTACTATTTATTGAACATTAGTAAGTTTATTTGGTAGTGTGGTGTATGACTTATCGGGACGTAGACTGGCTTTACACTAAACTTAAATCTAGTTAGTGGAGACGTAAACTAATGAAAGAGTCTCAACATACGACAGACATATTACGTGAAATTGTATAATATCGTGTAAATACCTTAGTTTTGCCCGCACCTGCCGGCCCCACCAACATCAGACCATGCCGGACCACGGTAGTTTCATATAGCTGAATTACTTTGAATATAAATGCTGTAATAATTAAAACATCTGTTGAAGAACTGTATGGCTCAGTGTTTTACATCTGCATCTACTTTCAAGCTAAGCAGAGCTTGTGTTATGGGTACTAGACAACTGATATAAATACTTAGATATAGATACATTTTTCCTAAATACGTACATAATATACATAGACAACACAGACTGCTACAAAACAATCATACTCATAAAGACAAATGTGTGTCCCGTGCGAGGTGTTTTGTAATCGTGATACCTGCGACCATCGGAAGTTTTAATAAACGTGAAAGTTCTTGTATGTGTGTCCCCACCAAATAACGATCCCCAAATATGAAACCTGGCCGTTAGGTATTTTCATATATTGTTTTGTATATTGCCAGACACTTAGTGTGGTTCAAAAAAAAATAAAATTGTATACTACGTGATACCACTAAAGCATTTTAAGATGCTTTTTTCATATATTGTTCGTAGCATTATTATAACTTGGACCTCACGTGATCAACTTTCCACCTCTCGAATTTTTTTACACCTTTGCACCTCTCATACGTTATCACATCATCACGTTTACTAAAATGACAATGGCCCGATTTACCCTGTAATTTCACTACCAATACTCACCCTCCACGCCGGAATATATAACGATATATGATCTTTAGATCAGATACTGATAATGATTATTTGTAAACATGTTTATATAATAGAATTTAGTACTCACTATACAGATCGTCGTAGCCTCGTTTCACGAGCATATTCCTGATGGACTGTTCCATTATACCGTAGTCCACAATTGGGATCTCCACACGTGGGAATAAATCCGATATTATGCCTGTAACAGAAAAACATTATCGATTAATAAGTACTACATTAAACTAAATCATTTCGTATGTCTATATTTTTATTAATGATACTCAAATGCAACAGGGAAATACAATTAAAACAGTTGACATATCATAACATTCTGCAATAGACCTACATGAATAAAGATATTTTGAATTTGAATTTGAATTATTGATTTTTTATTTTTTTAAACGGTGTTTAATAAGCACCAAGTCCACCAATTAGTAAATGACAAACATTTCTTTTTAATTTTACCATTAAAGAGCAGCAAATCATCGGCGAGGAACTTGGGTACATTCACGTCACGCAGCGCCCGGAGTACGATCTGTCGCTCGTCTCCATCTGGCATCTGCCTGATGAGGTTACCAGCCACTAAGATCACCGTCTTCACCGCGCGCATACCGAAGTCGTAGTGGTCCTGTGGATTACCACAAATAATGTAACTTGACGGCCTCGATGGTCTAGCGGTTTACCACACCGCTTTTCTTCCGATGGCCGCAGGTTCGATTACTCAAACGGTGTAAACATTTGTATTCATCATTATAACTGTGTATATCAGTTTTATTTCCCCCTTTCTCAGGGTCTACACTAGCACAAATTTCATTTAAATTGGTTCAGTAGTTTTGGCGTGAAAGCGCGACAGACGGACAGTTAGACAGTTGTTAAGTCACTTGTCTATAAATATCAATTAACAGAATTCTCGCGTTCATAAATTATAAAATGACTACTTGGATCTGTATGATTGGGATAAAGAAATTTACAATTGAATATAGCATTTAATTAGTTAAATCTGAAAATCACAACAATCACGTTATCGGTAATAGGAGGCTAACAATAGGTTATAATTACCCTCTGATAATACAAAAAAAAATACTAACCTGCGACGACAGCTGTTCGGAGCTCAACCTGAATGTAGTGGTAATCTTCCCAGCAAGGATCTTAGCCTCGAAGAAGCCATACGAGAAGAGGGAGATCTCGGCGATCAGCGCATAATCCGGCACCATCATGGCGATCGGTCGGAATAGGGCCTTCAAATTATCCGGTAGTTCCGTTCGACCTGACAACACCAATGAATATTTTTCACAAATTTTACTGACACAAATTAATTCGGACTGCCCCGTTACTGCAGCCCATCCGGTTTGCGGATGCTCAAACTAACGATTTTTTTACCTTATGGATGATAATGGAATGAAGATAATAAGGGAAGAATTTAGGGAAGGTGTTACATATGAATGTGGATGGTTATGAAGGCAGAGGAAGGCAAAAAAAGAGATGGATGAATGGCGTGAAACAGGGATGAATGGAAAAGCAACACATTACACCGACCCCAAATAAATGGGATAGGGAAGAAGCAGATGATGATATTAATGGATGATAATGGAATGTTGTACTCGCCATCGCTAACGGTTTAAGCTGGCGGGTCGCCAGTGGAGGATGATAAGAATATGAGGTCAGGTCAGTTAGCCCATCGTGGTAAATTCACCATGAATTTATCACGTAGGTTTCTAGGAAGAACCTCTTGGAAAACGTGGAGATCAACCTGACATAGTACATTGTGGTAATTAGTCCACATTACAAACAATCCCCTTCGAACTCCTGCGTCCGCGCAATTTTCTTAAAAAGGAGTACAATGTTTTTGCTTCACGCATTAATATAATGATACTAGTAGTCCCGCTAGCAGTACCACGGTTTAACACGCCTTAAAAAAAATAGTCTATGTGTCATTCTGATGCATAAGTTATATTACTGCAAAGTTTCATCAAAATCCGTTCAGTAATAAAGAGTAACAAACATCCATACTCACTAACTTTCGCGTTTATAATATTATTAAGATTAGGTATCACAATTGTAGCAAACAAGTATACAGTTTAAAAATTATAAGTACAAATTCATAACATGCCTGCATATCCAGGGTTCATGGTGATGAAGACAGAGCAGGAAGCCTTCAGCGGCAGCTCGCAACCTTCAAACATGAACTTGTCCAATCTCAACACCTGCGCCTTCTGGATTGTCACCACCTGGGTATACCAAAAGATCAAATCAAATCGAAGATCATTTATTCATGTAGGACATTTTAGCCGTTTATGAAGATCCAATTTTTTGTATTAACATAATTTCCCTACCGTCCAGTTCAATATACAGATTCAATTGAGAAGAAGTGGCAAGAAACTCAACTGAATTTCTTTTTTTTATAGCCAGTTTCTGAACTGATTTCTTTTTTTTTATATCAAAATCGTTTGGTAGGGGCACTTTTGTCTCGCTTATTCCAGCTACTAAGCAGCTTGCTTGTTTTATAATATGTTTTGATTAAGGGGTAAAGCTGAAAGGTGAGATATACCCGTGAAATTACAGAGTACGGAAGTAGAGCATCTAAGTCCTCCTGAACAGCAACGCATGAAGAGTACCTAATACGCTGCTATTCCGGAGCGGATAACTTCATGCATGCGTCCGGAAAAAAATACAGTAATACCTACTGAGTCATAAAATCTTACTTTTCCGGTTAGTTAGTTATGTTTAAGTAAAACTTACTTGTTGTGCTACAACTGACAACACCTCGATATCAATTCTGTTGAATTCGTCGAAGCATGCCCAAGCGCCGGAGCTGAAATATAAGTGACAAAAATTGTAACTAGTTTATATTTACTTATATATAGTATATTATATAGTATATCTTTATTTATTTATATTTAGCTTATTTATATATTATATTATTATAATACAAAGAAATATATTTATTTCAAAACAATTCGGCCCCGCCTACATCATATTATAATTGATTAATTTTAATAGCACTGGACTATTCGACACAACGCCATCTAGTGACAAATTCCAAGCTAAGCAGTGCTTGTGTTATGGGTACCAGAAAACTGATAGAGTACTTACGCATTTTTTTTTATAAATACATACATAATATACATAGAAAACAAACAATCATAGTCATTAATATAAATGTGTCGTGTCATTAATATAAAGGAATCGAAGCCGCGACCATCGGAAGTAAAGCGGTGTGCTAAACCACTAGAGCTCCGAGGCCATCGCGAACTTTGTGAGTTGTAGAAACCCTTATGAACTTAAGGACATTACTACATTCGTTCAAAAGAATAGTTTTTTGGAGATTGCTAAACCGTTACACCACCTATAGGCAACAAATTCTAAAAAAAGGCGAGCACAATAGACCTACGCAGGTAGCAACAAGTTTCTTTAGCACCGAGTAATAGCCCTTAATAAAAAAAAACAGACCACGAATTAAACTACGGAATTGACTACCTGCCGAGAGTCTCTACAGACTACAGCATGGAGTTTTTCAAGAAGGATATACTAAGATTTTTAACGGGGAAGTGACACCCCTGGTGTTTAAAAAAAAGTGTAACCTCATCTTGTTCCCCTTTCAGTTACATAGAAACTGTTTTTATGTATGTAAACATTTTTGAATGATGACATCATATGAATAACTCACGCCGCAAGCCCCTTGAAAAACTTCCCCATCGCCATAAAGTCGAGCTGATCAGAGCAGTTGAACACCACGCACTGTACTGCCAAAGCTTTTGCCAGGTCCTGTAAAAAATAACTTTATATATAACCTTCAATTTATTTATACATACAAGTATGCCATATGGCATTAAGCTCGCCAAATTGTACAATTTTTAAAAGTGCAATAAAGAATAAATAAATAAAAATTGTAAGTACAGCATTACGCCCATTTTCCAGAGATTCGTAACTTTCCTATACCAGACAACGCCAGAAAAAAGTTTCTGGTGTTTTCTGTATATTTATATTATCTTATATATAAAATTCTCGTGTCACAGTTTTCGTTCCCATACTCCTCCGAAACGGCTTGACCGATTCTCATGAAATTTTGTGAGCGTATTGAGTAGGTCTGAGAATCGGCCAATATCTATTTTTATCCCCCTAAATGTTAGGGGTAGTCCGCCCCTATATTTTTTTTTTTATTTTAAGGCGAAACGTTTGCCAGGACAGCTAATATTGTATAAGAACTGCCAAGAAATAAAATTTCTTTTCTTTTTTTTTATAAGCCAGATAATTTACATTGAGTACTTATGTACCAAGGCATAGCTATATTAAACAAATTAAAGACAAAATGGGAGTTGTGTCGTATCAATTAAAGAGCATAATTGAAGATCGCGGAAAGTGGCAAGAGCTCCACCGACAAGAGCGTAGCTCTTAAATTATGAATGAACGAATGAACTTATGCAGGTGTCTAACCTTAAGTGAAAATCCGGTGCATGAACTACTATTGCCATGCACGTTTGTCATTCAAACAATCGTTTAGTATGTAATTTGGCTATTAATAATTGAGGCTTAGCTCAATAAATATGATTTAACAGATGTTTTGAATTCTAGTATATCCTTCGGTATGTTATTGTAATTTTTTATACCCATTCCCATAGACCTATTTGCTTTTTCTAAACGATACTTTTATTCATTTAACGATTCAGTTTATACTGACCGCTGTTGCCAAGCAACTCTATCACCCGGTACATACAGGATGTCCCAGAACTCAACGTCAAGCCGAAACGGGGCGAAATACCTAGAAATTTGGTCAAACTGTAACCATTTTTCGGTTAAAGTGGTTAATTTTTATTATTTTTGTTCATAACCGTGACCCTAAATAACATTTCTAGAACCACAGTCAAAATTTTTGACTGTAGTGTATTTCTAGGTTTTTCTTAAATGCCCATAATTTTGAAACTGCATGGGATAGATTTTTTTCTAATTTTTCTCATGATGGTTACAATCAATACTGTCACCCCGTTTCAGCTTCACATTGAGTTCTGGGACACTCTGTATAATTAGGTGAGAGACGTGTAAGAAAGACGGATATACCTTGGTGGTCTCAGTCTTCCCGGTACCTGCAGGCCCGGCTGGGGCACCTCCAAACTTAAGGTGCATGGCGCACATCAGCGTCAGGTAGCATCGATCTGTCAATGGCGTGATGACCAGCCGACCACTGTCAGATACATCATAAAAAATATACTTGGACAACGAAACAAAAAACATGTGTTGTATACTCAAATAAGTAAATGTACAAATGATAGGATATAAAGTGCGCTTCATGGCTTTCCCGAGTTATTTACTCTAAGCGCAGTCAGGTACATCATTCTATTATTCTTACTAATATTATAAATATGAAAGTAGTGATTTGTTACGCTTTCGCGCAAAAACTACTGTACTGATCATAATTAAATTTTGTACACATGTTCTTGAAGGTATTACAATGAACATAGGAGCGAAGCCGCGGGTAAAAGAATAGAATAGAAAATCATTTATAATAAACTTTAAGAATAGCCATAGCTTTTTTCTCCACCACTCATTCGGAAATCTTATCTCATCACAAAGAGAGTACCAGAAAACTGCGTGTTGCTCTTTTAAATAATTATTGTAACATTTACATTTTAAAAGCACAAATTTATTATAGTCAATACATTTGATACACAATAAGATTAAATCAGTCGTAGTGTTTTGATGATCAAACTAATCATACAGCGCCATCTAGTGTCAATATATCGCACCTGTTCCCAAGATACTCGTTCTGATACGTAAAGACCGAGTTGAGCGCCCTCACATCACACCTGTTCTGACTGAACTGACGGTAGTACGCTGATGTATCCAGGCGATTCTCGTCCTGATATATCTCGGCAGATTCGCCTTCCTCTAGAGGATACATGTCGCGTACTATCTGATAATATCTGCAATTTAAATATAACATTTAATAATAATAACCCTGGACAATTCACGCAGTGCTTATCTCAAGCAAAGCAGAGCTTGTGTTATGGCTACTAGACAACTCAAATTCAAAATATCTTTATTCATGTAAATCTATTACAGACTCATGATATATCAAATCTACCGTCAGTTCGGAATGATTCGAAATGAGAAGAACTGACAAGCAACTCAGCTCGTATTCTTTTCAAACACACTGTAATAATCTTTCTTTTCTCTTTTTTACCCAAAGGTTGTTCGGAAGATATCGCTTAAGCGATAAGACTGTCTTTTGTACATTAATACTATATATTCTATTTTTTTTATTTAAGGTGCAATAAAGAGAAAAATAAATAAATTGCCACAAGTATCATTTGGCACTATATAAACTGATGACATTACTACACGTACGTAAGGTAATTATGGCAATTTACTGCTACAAACCAACCCTATTTTGTCTGCCTGTCATTACAACAATTATAGCTTAATTTGCTATTTTCTATCCGGCTTTACAAGTTCTGACCTAAGCTGACACATCCACTGGAAGTCCGTGACGTCCTTGACGTTATAATCTACGAGCGAGCGCGTAACGTCACGTGCGTGGACTTCGATCACGATGAGCGCGCACACCACTTCACGCTGGAAGAACGTCAGCTCACCCTTCACCAGCCCGCGCAGACGGTCCAACTGGAAACGGGATATCAAAACTTTTTATTATTTGACCTCGGTGACCTACCATCTCACTGACCAGCAAACAGGGTTCGATTCATGAGTATGAGTTTGTTTTGTTTTCATGGGTTATATCGATCTGTGTTTTTTAGGGTAAAAATAAAATTAGAATAAACAAAATCTACATATATGTATAATATGTATCTATTTAAGTATTTCCATCTTATTCTGCTTAGTTTGGAACATACAGCTATGTGAATTGTCCAAGATTATTATTATGGTTGACAAGTATGACAGTCATCCAAAATGAGGTACTCGCGTGTTAGTGATTTATGGCATGAAAATTACGAGATCTGTCCCTATATATACATGATGTTGTGATGTGTACCTGGTGCAGCATCTCCTCATAGAAACCATCCATCCGGTATTCCTGGATGGCATCCTCTACCCCTGCAGTCCAGGCAGTCTGCGAGCCCGCGATGACCACCTGTCCCGGCCACCGCAGCACCCACTGCTCACGTGGCAGTGTCCATAGCTCCTCCAGACCGGCCACCAATGTCAGTCGAACTACAACAGTACATACTCTTATTTTTCGGAGTTCACTGAGAATCAGTCGTGGCTATAGTCACGGCTGAGATGGATCCCTTGTAAATGTAAATATAAATTGGTCTCTGTTCTCCGCATTTATCCTCTCATCTAGGCCGTTGTGCGTGTAGAGCCGAGACTATTAAAGTAGCAAGCCAAGCTCCTCCCAAAAGCGCAAAAGCCTGGTGTCTTCATACGCTTTACAGAGAGACCTCATCGTTCCGAGGATCATTCTAGGATTACGAGAGCCTTAGTTTGCTGAAAGTAGCAAATCAAGGCTCTCGTCGTCGTGTACAGACCACTGCCACACTTGTACCTAATAGATGATACAGACAGTCCTCTATGTCGGGGCTGCTTTAAAGCCGAAGGAACGATCGCTTCCTTCCATCTATTATGTACAAGTGTGACAGTGGCCTGTACACGACGACGAGACCCTTGGCTTGCTACTTTCAGTAAGCCAAGCTCCTCTCAGAAGCACAGAAATCTTCTGGTGTCTTCACATACTTCACGGCGCGACCTCACAGTCCCGAGGACGTTTGTGTGCGTTATGTGGCCTTAGGATTAAGTGAGCAGCCGTTTCTTCGGCTTTAAAGCAGCCCCGACATAGAGGACTGTCTGTAGCATCTATTGTGTACAAGTGTTTAAGGGGCAGTGGCCCGTTATTGTCCCTATCATTATTTAAAGGTTTAAGGCCTTTTGTTAATCGTTGTTTTACTACTGAAACTGCTACTTTTGCTGATGGATTCTTTACTCAAACCCCATTTCACAGCAAGGCGAGGATAAGCTATGTAATACAGATTATGTTGGAATTGTCGTTTATTGTGTTTGTACATGTTCTGGTCTTTTTTTATTTAGTGTGCGCGTGGTTCATGTCGTGTCGCAATAAATATTCTATATTGTACCTTGTTGAATTAGACCCTGTTATAAGTTACGGTTCTGTAATTAAAGATTTGTAATTCCTGCATCACAAGCCTTGAGCTTAATGCAGGAATTGCTGTTAAATATTTTGTCTATAACCATTAATATAAAGTGTACAAAGAAATAAATGTTGTCTATTCTACGCTTTAATTAGCATACGGTTAGACTCTTACGAATAACTTGAAAATTTAAACATATTTTTTTACATTGTAACATTCCTTGTGAGCTGTATAATGAAGCTTATTATTCTCTTACATTAACTACTTTTTACTAACTTGTATGTCTCATAGTGTCTTCTAGCAACAGCAGCCATTGCTCCACATTGGCTGACGGGTAGAACTTGTACTTGAGTTCTACTATCTCACCTTCACTTGAATGCATCTGAGAGATCTTCAGATCCGCCTCGAACGTTACCTATACACATTTTATTTATAACTAGCTGACCATCGCAACTTCATCTGCATCACACTTACTTGACATTAATCATTATATGTCCAATTTACATAATATATTTTTAAATTATAGCAATTATTAATCATTATATGTCCAATTTACATAATATATTATTATATTATCAAAATTTACAATAATATATAAGCTATATTATTGTAAATTTTCGTCAAAATCCGTTTAGTAGTTATTGCGTTTTCTAGTAACAACTTGCTTACAAACAAACGTTCACATTTAGAACATCACTACATAATATAAAACAAAGTCGCTGTCGCTGTCTGTCCGTCCCTATGTATGCTTAAATCTTTAAAAATACGCAACGAATTTTGAAGCGGTTTTTTTTAATAGATAGAGTGATTCAAGATGAAGGTTTATATGTACACCCATGCGAAGCCGGGGCGAGTAGCTAGTTAGTAAAATAATAATAATAATCACATTTTCCCATATTTACTTTTGTACTATATGTGTATATTAATTTGGTAATTCTTAGTAATATTTTTTTGTTTTGTGTGTGTTTTATTATAACGGTAATAAGAAGCTGTAATAGACCTACAATAATGAACAAGACAAAAAAGGCGGAATTATCGTTGAAAAGCGATTTTTTCTAGATTGATTATATTTTATAGATTGGTTGTTAGGATAATAGAAATCTCGATCATGCTATTCAGTACACATACACACACACACATATACCCACAAACACATATACCCACAAATACATACCCCTAATGTGTTCACATGGGCACATATATTTAAGGATAACGTTTTGTTTCTTTATTTTTTCTTGTATCTTTTTTTTCTATACTTTGTATAATCTTAAAATTCTAAACAATGTAGTATGTTTAGAATTTTAAGCTTATACATATGTACGTCAGAAAGAATGGCGTGTATTAAAAACGATATGTATTTTTATATTCCTGTATGTACACAACTATCAACAAGTGTAATTAAATTTTTTATAGTATGTTGGTGTATAGTATGGTTTTCCTATTTCGATAGCCATAAATTTGAGAATATTTTAAGATAAATTATACTGACATATTTGTGAAAAAGAGATTATTAGATTATCAGTATTCTACCTTAAGGAAGACGTACCTTGGCAATATTCTCAAAGCACTTCCTAAGATGTGGCTGCACAGCTCTCGGGTTTCTTGACTGCGAGAGGATCTCCAGCAGCTCGTCATCGCTGAGGAAGAAGAACCTTGGGAAGCGGAGCCGCTTCAGCTCCATGTACTCGTTGAGGCCGCGCGCCACCACCGCCAGCAGGTGGCGAGCTTCCACCAGGCTGTCCAGCAGACGGCTGTCCGGGCAGATTATCATTATCTGCGAAAAAACAATGGGACTGCTACATCACCTATTCCTTGATGATTCGTCATGAAAAAGTAAAAAAAAACACTATTTCGCGTGAAGCGAAATGTTTTACGACTCGTGGCTTCACTGAAAATCAGCGCTGCAGTGACAAACTGCGGCACCAGCTGAGTGGAGGCTCTTTCAGGTCATAGCGCGATATTAGTTTTTAAGTTCTTCAATATTGTTCACTTTGTATTATGCTATGCTTAATAAATGATAATACTAGTGTACCTCGCCACTTCGTCTGCATCACCTTAACGCCGTTTTTTACAAATGTTTCATTGCATTCCGATTGCGATTTCGTTTGCGTGAAGTTTATCTTTTTTTTATTAAATTAAATTAAATTTACAGTAGCTATCTGCGAGTGAAAGTCCCGTCAAAATCAGTGCAGTCGTTTCAGAGATTAACAAGAACAAACAGACAGACAAACAATATTATTAATAATTAAGTTTTTGTAAGTACATATTTCAAGTGTATATAGTGAAAGGCTGTTAATTTGAAATTACAAACAGACACCTCAATTTTCTCTATATATATACTTATAATAGATTCGCACTTTAGGGCATGCAGCCGCCGAAGACATGATTCTCCTCCATATCCTCTCCATGGTGCCGTACTTCTTCGCTTCCAACGGCAGTTGACGGGAAATATCTTCAGACGTGAAAATAGGCTCCAAGTACATCCACTCCCTGCAACCAAATAATAATAAATGTACACACTAAAGAACTTATAGAAAAACGTATCTACCTCTCATACCTATTTCTGTTACCAACATATAAAGTTTCTATATTTGAATGTATTTAAATGGGTGTCAGAAAGATGAAATATGGCAGTATATCTATAAATCTATACATATAAATAAAATTGGATTGTCTGTTAGTAATATTGAAATAACTGTTTTTTACTACATGCATATGAATATACGGTACATACACCAAAATAACATTTTTTTACTTTTTTATTTGTCTGTCTGTCTGTTTGTTCCGGCTAATCTCCGAAATAGCTGGACCGATTGCGACAGGACTTTTATTGGCAGGTAGCTGATGAAATAAGGAGTAACTTAGACTAACTTTATTTCAGAAATATACTTTTATTTTAGAAAAATAAAGTTAAATTCCACACTAGTCGCGTGTTCAACTAGTTTTCTACATGTATATTAAAGTCAAATAAAATTAATAAAATATTCAACAAATCTGTTGTGTTGCGTATATATGGGCGACGTTTGCAGACTATAACATCAGGTAGACCGTATCATCATTGAATTTACATAAAAAAACGAACTAAGATGTAACTAACTAACGTTTCATAATTCATCATTAAATTTATGTAAAAAAAAATAACTAAGACATTGCGCACATGTGATATTTGTTGCCTCTTGTTATTCTTTAATTTATTTTAAACTGAACGACTGAAGCTTTAATCGAAGAAGAGGAAAGAATAAAATCTCAGCTTTTGGTTAAGCGTTACCTTTGCTGATTTCATACCCATTTTTTCAATTTCTTTACTAGACAGGGTTTTCATTCCGTGTTGTTACCGTATAATGAAAATACCTTCACGATTGATACCAGATGCGATAGTTAGAGGTATTGTTAACTATTCAAATTATAGTAAACGCAACACTTGACATACTAATATTTCATTGACTATATTTGAATCCATTGTGTGTGTAAAACTAGAGTGAAAAGTATTACTTCTGGCACTCTATCCATTCGTCGACGACACGCTGCGTGAGGCGTAGCTTGTCGTCCCACTCCTGGATGCGAAGCTCGAAGGCTGCCTTGAAGGGACTGAAGCCTAGCTGCTGCGTCGCCATCAAATGCTCATCCAACAGCTGCAGAGTCTCGTCCGCTATCTTCATTATGAACGTGCCTGGAAAGTTAATATTCATAATCACCTTCCAGCAATGGTACTTCCGAATTGATACGATATTGAAACCTTCAAGAAATAGCTTATTCCTTTTTAAAAGGCCGACAACTTGCATATCCCTGGTGTTGCGGGTGCTCATGGGCGGCGGTAATCACTTACCATCAGGTGAGCCGCATGCTCGTTTGTCCCCTGTGTTATATAAAAAAACTAATATTTTATCAAATAAGACAGCCTCGATGTTCTAGCGATTTACTAATGTAGTCATCATCATCATCAGCATCGCAGCCCGGAAGACGTCCACTGCTGGACATAGGCCTCCCCCAAAGATCTCCACGACGATCGGTCCTGCGCTGCTCGCATCCAATGCCTTCCAGCGATCTTGACCAGATCGTCGATCCACCTTGCTGGAGGCCTTCCCACGCTGCGTCTTCCGGTCCGTGGTCGCCACTCGAGAACTTTACTGCCTGAACGGCCATCTGTCCTACGAGCTATGTGCCCTGCCCATTGCCACTTCAGAGTCGCAATTCTTCGGGCTATGTGGGTCACTCTGGTTCTTCTGCGGATCTCCTCATTTCTGATTCGATCACGTAGAGTAACTCTGAGCATAGCCCTCTCCATAGCCCTCTGAGTGACTCTGAGCTTGTTGATGGGGCCCATAGTTAGCGACCACGTCTCTGTTCCGTAATAATGTAGTAATGTCCTTTAAATAAATGTTCTAACAGCTCCCAAAGTTCGCGGTGGTCTAGTCGTTTACCACACCGCTTTACTTCCAATGGTTGTAGGTTCGATTCCTCGTACGGTAAAAACATTTGTACTCAAGAGTATGATTGTTTGTATTGGTCTGGGTCTTTTATATGTATATTATGTTTATATTCACAAAAAAACATCTAAATACTCTATCAGTTGTTGTATAAGCTAAGCAGAACTTATCTTATGTGTTACGTACAAGCCTACACATAAGTTCTGCTTGCTTCGAACTAGATAAGCGCTATGTGAATCGTCCAAGGTTATTATTTAAATTATGTACTTTTATTTACAAAAAAAAGTATTTATGTATTTACATCAGTTGCCTAGTACCCATAATATAAGCTCTGCTCTCCCAAGCTAAGGACTAAATGGCGCTGTGTCCAATTATTATATTGTACAATAAACAAATATAAAAACAAGCCTACGTAACTTGGATATTTTTTTGCTATGATATCGATGTTTCCTTCACCGGAGAGACATTATTTAAATTATTAATCGGGTCTTAACACGAATAATTTTATGGCAAATAAAGGTATTTACCTCTCTCGACGTTTCGACTAGGTTGCACTGGCCATGGTCACGAGCTGACTGGAGTAACAGCGATGTCAATGTAGATAGGTGACAGCAGTTTTTTCTTCACCTACCGTCACTAGATTGTTTAACGAAAGATCGCGACACACAGCACTCACGGTATCCGTACACTTATTGACTATTGATGCTACTGAACTTTGCTTGAATTTATTTATGACAGGATTCCACGCAGATAATTTTAAGCCATCCTCTCTGTTGAAATTGGGATGTTTTTTAATTTCAATCGCCTCCCGGACCATTCGTAGGTAATAGTGGCGATCAGTAGAGAGGACCTTAGGCGCATGTAGTTCAATCCAGTGATTTGTTCCAGCGTTCAGTAGATGATCGGCAATCGCTGATTTGTGTGGTTGTCGATTTTTAACCGTCTGCTTCTCGTTCATATTGATCGTTTTGTTTGGCCAATATAAGAGCCGTTATACAGTCAATTTTGTAGACACCTGGAGCTTCGTAAGGTAGCTTATCCTTTGGTGAACGTAAATTGTTCGTTACTTTTGAGGGCGGATAATATACAGTCGAGAGAGGTAAATACCTTTATTTGCCATAAAATTATTCGTGTTAAGACCCGGTTAATAATTTAAATAAAGTATTATAAACACGAAAGTTTTAAATTAACTACCGGAGAGACAGTTAGGAATATGAATTATCAATCAAGGTAGAGAGTACCAACCAGTTGCCTTATAAGGCGCGATCTCCATAGCTTTATTAGCCCAATCGGCCAACATCTTATCCAGCGACTGCTCGATCACGTACTCCTTGCTCGCCAACTCGCCGATTTCAGCGATGAGCTGGCCGTGGGCAGCCACACCCTGCTTCAAGCACATCTGAAATGTCTGCTTCTCGTTCATCGTCACCGTTATACCTGGAGGAAAAAAAGATATGTAAGAAATGTACGTCGAGAGGAAAGACCCACAAAAAACGAACTTAAATAGGTATAAATGAAAAGGAATTAATAATAACAGTAAAAATCTTTTATTCACAAATATACAGTTTAATACTAGACTAATATTTAGACTTGTCTTTCGAAATAGGTACACGAAAGCTAGTTACCTACAACATATTAAAAACATTTTTAGACAAATATCATGTACATACATGAATAAAAATATAGATGTATATATACTTTACTAAATAAAAATAAATTTAGTTGTTTGATATACGGACAGCTACCTGAATTACGGGTACATTTAATGGATAGAAAACTCGCCGAGGTTTCGAGAGTTTTTCAAGAAAGGCGTGTTACATCATTGTTTTGATCAGACGTTTAATTACACAATCAGACATGCACCCATGCTTATTTAACGAAGTGGTAGTATAAAAAATATATATATTTATGGTAATTAGCAACAGTTGCCTCTACACAGCCTCTCGGTAGCCTTAGGTCCTTAGGTCTCGATAGTCTAGCGATTTAGTAAAGTTCTTACACACGCAAATACACGTATGTGATAATTAGTGATACTAAAAATTAAGACCTGCTCTCTCCATGAACTCGTTCCAATGTCTCTCCTTCATGCCGGGATTACGGACAGCCTGAATTACGGGTATCAATGGTCGAAATTCGTCGATATCGTCCTGAAAAACATACAACTGTTATTGGTCAATTTAATTACACAATATGGAAGCACCCACCAAACAGAAAGAGGCCGAAGTATTACATAAGCAGATTTATTACAATGATTTACCCCCACCCCCATCCCTTGCCAGCAAAAGTAAACAAAGCTCTTACCCCCTCCCCCCATGATTACGTAAACATTTTTCAATTAATGTATTGTTTATTATAGAATAGACAACGTGTGAGTTCCCATTTGTGTAAAAAAGTAGATAATATAAGATTTTTTTTTGCGACTGAACCGATAATGTAATGCATCTGTGAGAAGAGACGCGATTCAAGATTCTTTGTGAAACGTGAGTGATTCCATAAAAAGATGTTATACATACAGAACAAATTTATACGATACTAGCTGTCGCGGCAAACGTTGTTTTGCTTTAAAATAAAAAAAAAATTTTAGGGGTGGACTACCCATAACATTTAGGGGGATGAAAAATAGATGTTGGCTGATTCTCAGACCTACTCAATACGCTCACAAAATTTCATGAGAATCGGTCAAGCCGTTTCGGAGGAGTATGGGAACGAAAACTGTGACACGAGAATTTTATATATAAGATGTTTAGCCAAGATGGCATACATAAACCTTAAATGCTACAAAAACTATTGTTGAATAATAATAAAAAAAAGAACGATGTCAAATCTTTATATATAAAAATTACGTGACACGTTTGTCCGCGATTGATTGTAAATTTGATTTGCACTTACAACTTGAAAGATAGGATAGCTTACATCTCAATTTATAGTCGCAATGTTATTTTATTCAAGAACCGTGGCCGGATCTGTTAGTATATATATATATTATTACTACTAGTACGGTATAATTTAATCACATCATACCCGTATAACGGTGGCCACCATTTGCACCTTGGGCAAGTCCGCGAACGTGCGCACACACTTCACTATGGTCTTGTAATACTCGTTGACCAGCGGCTCTATGGTATCCGCGTCTACATACATCAGCGGGTTGTCGAACCACACCTCGCGCGCTTTCAGGAAATCTATTGGAGAACAATGTATGTTAAAATCCTATTAAAATATAAACGCGAAAGTTTGTGAGTATGGATGGACGTTTGTTACTCTTTCACGCAAAAACTACTGCACGGATTTTGATGAAACTTTACAGTAATATTAGCTCATATATCAGAATAATATATAGGATAGAAATTTCACGCGGGTGAGGTTAAGAAATGAAAATAAGAACATTTTGTACACAAAAGAAATATAATAAGAAACACGAGTAAATAGAAAAGTATGAATATACAGAAAATATATAAATTTTTTTTTAGTTAGTCTATAAATCTAATAAATTATAAGTTGGTTTTTTTTTCAGTCTACGTAGCTGGCCTTTACAGCTTCACCGGACGTTATGGGGCGAGTGCAGATGGCACTCCAATCCCGCGGAAGGACTTATGGAGCGGCTGAAGGACAACTCCCGCCTGACGGATGCGACTTTAGTCTGAGGGCCACGCTAGGGGTCCGAACCTCGACTCAGGCCGTCGTAATATCGATCCCCGTTTAAATTGGACGGGGGATCGATCGGAGAGTAGACGGCAAATCGATCGGAGGGGCATTTTAATATTATGAAGATTCTATTGTCAAGGACTTTTCACTAAGCAAAAACTGCATGACTTTTACGCAAACTGCGTGGAGAACGAGTATGTTAGATCTTAAGTGCGCGAAACACTTAAGATCTATATAGAGAAGGAAAGCAGAATGCTATTTTTTTTTTATTCTGCATAAAAAATAACTAGTAATGTTCAAATTGGATAGAAAAGTGTCCGGTTCAAAACCAGCGCCGTACAGAAAAGCATCCATTAGGCATATGCTGAACCAGGTTATTTTGCTGCCTTTAATTAAGTACCCTTCAAATGTATTTCTTTTTATGTAATTTCATTGGTAGCAATAAATCATTATAATTTTTATTCTTATTACAGTATACTGAATTTTGTGTTCAAGAATGGATACCGTGATTTGGTAAACATAGCGTTGGGCGACCCTAAACTAGATGGAGCAACGCTATGTCGTTGATCTCTTCTTCATCTCTCATTCATCTCATATTCTTATGGTTCGTATGGTTATCTTATACTTATTCTAGTAAACTGAAGTTCTCGAGTAGAGATCGCGAATTGGCAAACAGCGTAGGACACCCCGAAGCTAGATGGAGCGACGACATACGTAGAGCTGCGGGTAAAGATTGGACGAGAAAGGCCGATGATCGAGCCCAGTGGCGTGCTTTAGGAGAGGTTTATGTCCAGCAGTGGACTGTAGTGGGCTGATGATGATGACGATGATGATTTTTGTCACCTGAAGCTGTAACCCATAGGTTCCGATACGGTTCAAACTCCTTGACGAGTTTATTGAGGTCTGCAAACGGTACGACCGGCTGCCCGAACAACTTCTGCCGCTGGTTGAGTATCCTGCCCCAATCCTGGGAATCCTTCATGCCTTTCCACGCCTTCTTTATGTCATTTGCTATTTCGTGTACCTGGAATTTGAAGATACAGTATGTAGATATTAGTGGGACTAGATATAGTTAGTAATACAGATTATAATAATAATATTAAACAAAACAACAACAAATTCTTTGTATGTATATCATCTACTTATGTAATCACGCATGTTTTACAAATAGAAAATCTTGAATCTTGAATATATTTCAGGCTATTTGTCCATATTGTTAATATTACAATTTTCTTAGAGTTAATGTTAAAGTAATGTGAACTGATGGCCCCATTGCTAGCATTATACCACATCAGGTTGACCTCCACGCCGTTCACACTGGAAATCATCCTGATTTCCAGATAATTTCCAATATGGGCTAACTCACTTGACCTCAATCATCCTCCATTGGTGCGTCGCCAGCGTAAACCCTTAGCGCAGGCGGGTGCACCATTCAGTACCAGATGGAGACAAATTTCGAGGAGCTCTAACACCAAGGAGGAGAATAAAGAAGATCCACTGTTACTATCATGAAAGTCAAGACTCTGTCCAAAGTTTACAACTAAAGAAGACGAGAGTACTACTTACTTTACTGAAGTAGACTTACTTTACTGAAGTCATTTTGCAGCGTCAGCGCCATGCACTGCGAGGTGAACATGTCAATCCTGTCGTACAGCGTCTGCTCGTCCTGCTGATGCAGCTTCCAGAACTTCTCTTGCTCTTCCTCTAGGAAATCTGTTGTAGCCACCATCTGTAAACAGCATCCTGATAATCATAACAGCCCATTGCTGTTATCTCAGTGACGTTCCTAGCATACAAAAAATCACAACAGTTAAAACTTTGTACAAAGTCCTTTTAGTGGGTTCCACTGAAATCATGTAAGTCGTAATACAGGTAAGTCGACAGACATCTTTCTTTATAAGTTGATGTTTCATTGCATTAAATTTAATTACACTATAATTTTAGAGAGAGAGAGAAACAGAAAGAGAGTGAATGTTAATATTTCACTCTCTTTCTGTTTTTTAATTCAAATCTTAAGTCACGCAGCCTTGTCTTTGCAAGGAGCAAAGACAAGCTTCCAATGGTCGCGTGTTCGATCCCTCCATAACACACATTAAGTATTTCTATCAATTATCTAGTACTCAAGATCTGTTTAATTAGGACTGCGTAAACTATCTAGGGATATTATTATTAAGTAATATGCTACTGACCTGCTTGGTAATATTGAGTGGCCAGCCAATCGCCTCCCACAAAAGCTTGAAGTCATCATTCTCCAGCGGCATAAAGAACACGTCCAACACTTCATAATCCTGAAAATTGGTACGCGTTGCAACCATTAAAGAAAGATATCTTGCGCACAACTAAACTGACTAGTATTTTTCCTAAGCAGAATAGTATATAATAAGAACAATAATCATTCAAATAAATTTAAACATATTTAATAGAATGAGGTTACCTAAGACTGCCATTTTTATTTAAATCTTTAGTTCAAATAATCTTTATTTGATACGTACCGTTTTTATTCGAGGTTCTCTAATACTATTGGCCGCAGCTGGCCTTCACAGCTTCACCGGACGATAGGGGGCGAGTGCAGATAGCACTCCAAACCTGCGGAAGGACTTATGGAGCGGCTGAAGGGCAACTCTCGCCTGACGGATACGACGTAAGTCAGAGGGCATCGTCGTAATTTTGATCCCCATTTGAATTATACGGGGGATCGTTCAGGAGGTACGTACCGTGTGCACCTTCCTCATGATATCCTCTTGAGTCTTCAGTGCGAAGGGTATAGATTCCATCCACTCCCTGATCTCGAACACGTGTTCTATCGTGTTGGGTTTCTCGCCGAGGCGACGCATGATGCCCTTGTACGCTGTCACTACATCCTCCACCACTAGCCTCACTTCCTCGGCCCACATCGCGAGCAACGCTCTTATTATGTCTGATCGCTTCGTTACCAACATTTGCTGTGGGCATATGTATTGGTTATGTAGCGTGGTGGTTATCACATCACCACTATTGCATTAGCTGTGTCCTAGGGTTCAAACGCGTGAAATTTATAGCCTGTGTTATGTATAAACTATATAACTATATTATGGTAAAGTTTTATTAAAATCCATTCGATAGTTTTTGGGTGAAAGAGTAACAAACAACATCCATCCATCCACACACGCAAACTTCCGCGTACATAATATTAGTTAGATGTGATGAGGTGTTTGTTTCTGTAGTATCTAGGTAGTGAGTTTTCAGGATTGTACTACATTAGCTGCCTTTACACGTTCGTTCTTTCCGGGCGAATAGGCTTTCACACATATGATGTGTGGCCACTGCTACGCCTTCCAGAATTACGGCCGTTAGTGAGTATGAGTGAGCGGCCGTTTCTGCGCTAATGCAGAAGCCGCCTGGTGTCATCACAGGCTTCATGGACCGACCTCACCGTACCGGGAATTGTGTACGATGTGTGGCCACTGCTACGCCTTCCAGAAATACGTGAGCGGCCGTTTCTTCGGCTTCAAAACAGCCCCGACATAGAGGACTGTCTGTAGCATCTATTGTGTACAAGTATTTGTTTAAGGGACAGTGGCCCGTTATACCTTCAGTGTATCGACGTTCAGTGCAAACGGTCCAATGTTGATATACTGCGGCAGTCTCCATATGAGGTCCTGCTTCGCGTCGTAATGCATCTGCACTTCCTCGCGTGTCTCAGACGCAGAGTGTTTCTCTTGACGGAAGTTTCTATTAAATATACACGAATATATATATATATATATATATATATATATATATATATATATATATATATATTATTAGTTTCGGATAGATGGCGCTATATGAATTGTCCTGAGATATTATTATTAGGTGCTCGTGTAAAAATTCCAGTGGAGTGGTACGCATGTAGGTCAGGCAGCAAGACATGTGTGATCGTATACAGCAACCGTTCGCCAGCGTGCCCCTCTAAAACAGATTTCGGTGACTACGAACGCTACACGCTACTGGGCGTCGTCCGTAAGCTCTTATAGTTTATTACTATAAGAGCTTAATAATAACATAGTCTCAAACAATTAAATTTAGACAAAACACTCTACACCACCTTTCAAAAGGCTGCCATTTTGAATACGTGTAGAACTGTCCGAAAATTCCTGGAAATAGACGTAAATGACAAAACACCTATTACGTAAATTAAAAGGTTCACAATATCTACACAAAAACACGCAATCAAACGCGCTCACGCGCATACAGGCACGCACGAACACATACACACACACACTGCACTTACTTGGTTTTGGCTAGTAAGTACGCAAACCGTAAAAACCCAGCAAAAAAAACGAAGAAAACAAAACATACTAATAATAATAATATCTCAGCTTTTATAATGATAATATTAATTCACACAGCGCCATCTATCCGAACACGAATTGGTCACGACGAGCCAACTGACCTAACCTCATCGCCAGCGTAAAGCGCATTTAGCGCAGACGTGCACTATAGCAGACAATAAACATAACACACATACAGAGAGACAGTCTTTGTAATATGTAGAAGACACTCACTCAACGTATTCCTCGACGTCCAGCATGTATATGTCTTTGTAGCATTCGTACTGCCGCATATACGCCTGGAGTGGTATGATAGCCTTGCGGTACGCCGTCAGCAGCCTCTCGCGGTACTCCACCACGTTGGGCTCCATCAGACCTTGAAAATTGAAATGAAATACCGGATTACCTTTTTGCCATTCTGAGGAAATTATGTAACATACTCATGGTAGAAGTTCAGTTTACCCGTGATCATGGTGGTTGAAACACTGCCGAAATATCGGGAACTCAGCAAATAAATATAAAACGTGGTAAGATCCCGTGATTTTTACTAATTATATGCTCATGGTAGAGTTTTGGAGTGTTCTTTGGAGGAAGCCTTTACCCAAAGTGGGGTTCTTGCTGACTAAATAAATATACATATTAATAACAAATAATTTAATAATAATTAATACCTATAGTTAAATAAAAATAAACCTGAATAATTATAAACAATAATTAATTATGAATAAACAAATAGAGATAAATATATATTTCTAATTTACTAACACCATAACTTTGTAATAAATAAGAAATAAAAAGACTTTTTTATTTTATTTATTTATTACTTCACGTGTAGTAAAAGCACTGAATAATTTAGATTTTCTCTAAAAAAAGAATATAATGGTGCATGATACCTCTATTTCTATGATCTCACTGATACAGGTCATCCGCACCACACATAGGGGAGTGAAAATTAGGGCTTTGGAGATATACTTTTACCTTAGCCGAACGTTGATTACCTATAGATGTGAGGAATAATTCTTTATCGAAGACCAGGCCAGTCATGATCATGGGATGCACCTGCGGTATGAAGTGGCACCGGTACAGCATCTCCCGGAACAGCCGTTGGATCACCACCTGAACATTTACTAAATTATCCCAAAACCAAGTTTTACATTATTAGGCACATATCTCTAATAAAGAATTATGGAGTAATAATAATAATCTCAGGACAATTCACACAGCGCCATCCAGACACAAGTTAAGCTAGCTAAAGCTTGTGTTATAGATACTAGACAACTGAGACAAATACATATATATATATTTTTTTCATAAATACATACGTATTATATATTGAAAATCAGCGCTGCAGTGACACGATTTATTAATTGTCTATTGACGTATGTATATGTATATAATATATATGGGTTCTGATAACAGAAGCTCTTCTTATATTTAGACTAGCCGGCGCTATACAAAATGTCAAGATAAGAAAAATCTATAGAAAAAATAGTTACTCAAAATTGACATGCATAAGCGGCTAAAAATTAAATTAAACTCATACATCTGAAATATCACTATGGACCTCGAATTGCTGCGGATCGGTGGTGTAGTAAGGCCCATCAGTGGACATCATCAGGTGGAAGATTAGATCGTGGGCGTGGGAGAGCGGAAGGGCGAGTTGAAGAGGTCCGTGGGGTCCCACGCGTAATCCTCCCCGTACGAGTACGTACACGTGTCACGGTGTCATTTAGACATTTTATTTATTATTCCATACGGATACACCAGCGGAAAATAGCTACATTACCATAAATTTAGTCGTGTTAAGACCCCAATTAACTATATTAATAATATCATATATAACTTTAATTCTTCTCGACTGTAGCCAGCTAATAGAACAGTAGCGTAAAAAATTGTAATACAAAACTGATATGCATAAACAACTAAAACTGAAATTAAAACACTAACTCACCTAACATAATTTAACAATGATCATCTGATTTAACATTCTAACCTCGAATTGCTGCGGATCGGTGGTGTAGTAAGGCCCATCAGTGGACATCATCAAGTGGAAGTAGAAGAGCGTGGGCGTGGGAGAGCGGAAGGGCGAGTTGATGAGGTCCGTGGGGTCCCACTCGTAGTCCTCCCCGCACGAGTACGTACACAGGCACGGTGTCTCGCACAGGGATACGAACATCGCCATCGACTGCTCGATGCTGTATCGTAACGCGTACTGCAATTATAGAATAATAAAGTTTTATAATTATTATTATTAATACAATTATTATTCGTATTATATTTCTTATTATATAATATAATACTAGCTATTAACCGCGACTTCATCCGCGTGGAATTAAAGTATGAAAAATATATGTTAATCTATTATCAGACCTACCGTTTCGGAAGAGTTTGGTAATAAACAATGAGTCATATATAATAAAGTCGAGTACGACACGAGTACTTTATATATGTATATTAGATTTATATTATACTATAAATTTTTTTATATATCAATATTATATCTCATTCATATCAGTGCACCGCTAAAAATCTTTGACTGCACCACTCATGGTCGACTAGTAGATAACGCCCCCAAGGCGTTAAGTCTGCACTACATCCATTTTATTTACGTACATCAAAGTTATATTAGTTATATAAATAAAATTATGTTTTTCTGACCTACGACCAGAGGTAGTAGACTCCACCAGCCACTTGGTGAAACAATATTAAGAAGCAGATGGACCAGAACAACCTTACTACTCAGACAACCCAGAACAGAGGTCTCTGGCGCAAATGTACCGGGAGACCCGACCCCAGATAAATTGGGAACATGGGTTGGAGAGAGACAATTTTCTGATTAAATAGATTAATAGATTCAATATAAGAAGCTAGAATTGCCTCCTTTTATACAAGTCAATTAAATTAACCACGCCGTCTTAATCATTATCTAAATACTTTTAAAATGACATATAACCCTTCTGTGTAACTTTAAAACTTTAAAGGGAAAAATAATTTGAATAAATTTAAAAATATAAAACGCTTGTCTACAAGGCAAGATAAAAATGTACATTATGAATACTGCCATTTTTCTATTTAACCGACGATATGTCACAAATGCTTTATGTATCTATTTTGCGTTTAAAAATTGTAGTATTTTAGACTATCGTTATCTTAAAATTCCTAACTAAGGCTAAGTTACATAGACTTATGTATGACATATTAGCATTATGGTGTACCAACCTGCATTCGAAACCTGACCAGCTGCATAAATCGACACAACTTGCTGATTCCATAGAACTCCCATTTCTTCTCATATATGTTGTACCACCTGACAAAAGGCATAATAATTATACATATATATGTATATATATATATATACTAGTTGACTCCGCAAACATTGTTTTGTTTAAATCAAAATCGCATTGGTAGAAGGGTGAACATTTAGGGTTGTATATATTTTTTAATGCTGAATTATGGGGGGAAACGGATTGTTAGTAATGTAGACTGTTGCTAGCAATGTACCATGTCAGATTGACCTCCACGCGGTTCCCCATAGAAACGATGGGCTAACTGACCTGACCTTATGCTCATCTTACCATCCTCCACTGGTGCACCCCAGCGTAAACCGTTAGCGCAGGCGAATGCACAATTCAATTACCATCCTTAAAAAAATGCCGAATAATAAAAAAATTAAAATAAAAGAAATTGTAAAGAATTTTTTTTAAATATTTAGGTATGGACACTTAGACATATGAAAAATAGATAGTAGCCGATTCTCGGAACTACTGCATATAAAATTTCATAACAATCGGTCAAGCCGTTTCGGAGGAGTATGGTAACTAACATTGTGACACGAAAATTTTATATAAAAATATATAAGAGATATATATATATCTCTTATATATTTTTATATAAAATATCAATAAAATCTTAATTCACCCTTTTCCAACATCTCTGAACGACATCCTGACAGCGTGTGCGGTGTTATTCAGCCAAGTTATATTCAAGTACTTCAACATCTGTTTAGGAAAATATATAATTACAAACAGTAACATTTATATTTTTAACTCATTTACTTGTAAAGTGAATCTATATTGACCGGTTATATATATATATATATATACTAGCTGTCCCGGCAAACGTTGTTTTGCCTTAAAATAAAAAAAAAAATTAGGGGTGGACTACCCCTAACATTTAGGGGGATAAAAAATAGATGTTGGCCGATTCTCAGACCTAATCAATACGCTCACAAAATTTCATGAGAATCGGTCAAGCGGAGGAGTATGGGAACGAAAACTGTGACACGAGAATTTTATATATAAGATATACATAATAGATATTCAAAGCAGTTTTTTTTATTATTAATAGGTTTACGCTTGATGTTACCTTATCTGATAGCAGTTGATAATGAGAATTTCGACCACTCAAATTCAGTCTCAAATATTCAGTGAAACCTGACTACCTCTACTGGAAGCGTTATGACTTTCTCTATTAGTTTCATTTCCTTATCATACATAAGAAAATGAAATGGATTGATGTAAAATGGACTCCAAAAGATAATATAAAAACTTTTTTTTATGTTTCCATATTTTTGGTTATTTTTATTTATTTCTCTAATTCGAGCTTTTGATGGCCTATATTATAAATATCTTACAGACTAACAGACACATGAAAGATATTAAATTTAATATAAAAATATAATATATTATATTTTTTTGATGACGGTAATCTGCCACGGTTATAGTAAAAATACATACCATAGAGGTGCAGTGTTGCTGCGCGGCGTCGAATTCAGCTAAACTAATGTTTCTGCCATAGTTAGTAGTGAAAAACAACATTGACTCCACCTGCAAACATATACAATTCAATATAATAAACATTCAGTATCTTTTCAAGTAACAAAATAACGACGACCTCGGTGGTATAGCGGTCTAGCACACCGCTTTACGTCCGATGGTCGCGGGTTCGATTCCTCGCACGTCACAAACATTTGTATGACTGTTTGTATCGGTGATGCGTATGTAAACCTCTTAAGAAAATGTATTTGTGTTTCCTTCTATAGAAAAGATAATCGTTTGTTTTTGATATTCTGACATCGAGTATTAAATGAGCTACAAAATAAGTCGGACGTTTTAATTCATATATAACAATCGGTCTGGGTGTTTTCTATGTATAATATGTATGTAAGTATTTACGAAAACAAAAATATGTATTTGTATCAGTTATCTAGTACCCATAACACAAGCTTTAGATAGCTTAACTTGGGTCTAGATGGCGCTGTGTAAATTGTCCTGAGATTATTATTATTATTAAGATTATTATATTATAAATCAGATATATTTATCAGAGCAGACCAGTTTCCACAAGCAATATCCATTTACAAGTATAATGGATGAGTCAGCTATTAATATATTTTAGGGACCTCAATGTCCCATTCCACCATGCCACTACTTTGTATGGATATTTAAGAGAGCATGACTGACTGATGACACTCGATCACGTCACAACGATTCCTACTTATTAGTAGGAATCGTAATATAATATACATTACTAACAATCCACCTATAGTAATATATTATATTACTATAGGTGGATTGTTAGTAATGTATATTATATTCTGTGGAAATATGGACTGATAACCCTAATGCTAGCAATGTACCAGGATATTGACCTCCTCGCAGTTTCCTCTAGAAACCATCGTGATTCTTCATCGTGATAGGATGATCGCGAGACCTGACCTCATGCTCATCCTATCATCCTCCTCAGGAGCCCCGCCAAAAACTAAAATACTATCCTGATCATTATCCACCGTGCGTTATTTTAGTAACTTTTTGCCACGAACAATCACATTGTAGACCTTTCAGCAATAGTACAATGTATTTCCGAACCGATACAATATTGAAACTTTCAAGAAAAGAGCTTATTCCCACTTAAAAGGCCGGCAAAGCACGGTGGTAATAACTTAAATCAGGTGAGCCCCAAGCCCGTTTAATCCCTATACTATAAAAGAACAGCGTTCGTGGAGACAGGCCCACCATTCCATTTATTATTTAGTTTATTATTATTATTCCATTACCATCTATTAACAAATCTTTTAGTGCAAACGGTTGCAAATTTAAATCACTTTTTACATCGTATCTCTTACAAACTCACCTTAAGACACTCCTCAACAACTAAGTGGATACAGGAGACTGCCTCCATAAGCACATATAATGAGTACCACTGGTTATGCTTGAGACGTCCCGGAAAATCCTCCATTACGCATTGGTGACGTCCTGGAATGGAAAAATAATATGGGTCATTTTTTTTATTTAATAATATATAATATATATTTGCCAGCATATAACACAGGCTTTACAGTATGCGAGTGAGACAGAGTTTGTGATGTAAACAAAAGCAAAACTTGCCATAATCCGGTACAGGAGGCACGTAATCCTTGGTTGGCACGTCGATGAAGTTATACAGATGCTTAAACTTCTGTATTGTGTTTATTATCTTCATTTTACCCTCCACTTTCTTGTACAATAGCTCTGCCTATATGATACACATTAATATTTGTTTTTGTAATTCACATGAAATATATACGGTGATTACATCTAAAATTTAGTTTAAAATGATTGCTTTTGACTGTCTTATGGAAGATAATGGAATGGTACACACGTCTGCGCTAACGGTTTACGCTGGCGGGGCACCAGTGGATGATAAGAGGAGCATGGGTACTGTCAGTTAGCCCATCATGGTAAATTAATGGTTTCCAGGTACATTGCTAGCAATGGGGTTATTACTCCACAAAACTAACAATCCAGATAAAATATCCTATATGAATGATTGATTTTTTATTTGATTTGATTTGATTATTCATCCAGCAGCATAAAAAATCCCTTACCTCGAGTATGAGCATTTGTAGATGAGTCTCATCAAGCTCAATAGCCTGCTTGTGTATCCGGACCATAGCTAACACCTCGGGCATAAAATGTCGCGGCATGATTGGCAGACCGTCCAGCAGAAGACAGTCAAGGTACAGGTGAAACCTGCAGGTTTCTTTGAATGAAATTGGAACAAAGAACTTGATGACCCATCTGCTGGTAAACGATAACTTTCGCCTATATATAATAATAATAATCTCAGGACAATTCAAACAGCGCCTAGTCCCAAGATAAGCTACATAAAGCTTGTGTTATGGGTACTAGATAACTGATGAATACATAATTTTTTTATCGAAAATACATACATTATACATATATAGAAAACAATCATACTCATGAATACAAATGTTTGTGCCGTGCTGGGAATCGAACCCGCGACTATCGGAATAAGGCGGTATGCTAAAACGCTATCCACCGAGGCCGTCAATATATGAACAGCGCTACGCATATAACGTTATCATGTGATATCCGGATACCACTTATGCACTGTCATTCCAGAAGACTAAAAAGTCATGCCTCATATCTTATTCATCATATACTCTCTCTCTCTCATACACACACACACACACACATGTGATCACAATCATTGATAGTACATGAATTGTGCGACTGTGTGTGTATGTACATTCGCACACATTCCTGTACTATCAAATACATATTCACTTGTTTTCGCTATATATCACTAATATTACAAATATGTCATATCTTACAAAGCACAAATTTTAATTTTGATAATCTCTTTCAGTCGCCACGTTGCTTGGCGCCAGGTGAGACAGACCCACACAAACTATATTGCAAAGTGTACCTCGGTTACGGAACATCTGTGCATAGTCAAGGAGACTGCTTCCTGGATAAGGAAAGAAAAATATCTTACCTTAAGTTATTCTCAACTTCTCTCCGCAAATCGATAGCGAACTTGACACGTTGAGCGAATGTTTCTGGATCATCCGCTTTGAACATTAGACGAATACGAGGGATTCTGGAAACAATATATGTAATGTAATAATAATAAAATCAGGACTATATATATATATCACATCGTCATCTAAACACAAGTTAAGCTAGCTAAAACTTGTGTTATGGGTACTAGACAATTGATACAAATACATAGATACTTTTATACGTAAATACATACATATTAAACATAGAAAACACCCAAACCGATACAAACAATCATACTCATGAATACAAATGTTTGTGCTAGGAATCGAACCCGAGACCATCGAAAGTAAGGCGGTGTACTACACCACTAGACCACAGAGGCTGTCATAATATGGCACATATATAGCTGGCAGAGAACGCTAAGAGCATTAAGCCCGTTAGTTATAATAATACTAATAATTACCCTCGACAATTCCAACAGCGCCATCTAGTCCCAAGCAGAGTGCCTGTGTTTTGTGTGTATATTGTATTATATGTTAGGAATGAGGATAATATTTTAAGAAAGGTGTTACATATGAATGTGGATGGTTATAAGGGCAGAGGAAGGCCGAAAAAGAGATGGATGGACTGTGTGAAAGATGATATGTTAAGAAAGGAAGTAAATAACGCAATGACTGCGAACAGGGATGAATGGAAGCGAAAAACATATTACGACGACTCCAAATAAATGGGATAAGGAAGAAGCAGATGTTGATGATGATGATGTTGTATTATGTGTTATGGACACTAGACAATTCATAGATATATAGTGCTTAGGTAACTTTTTTAAATACAGAATATACCGAAATCCCAGACCAATAAAAACAATCAGGCGTGTGAATTGTCCTGGGATATTATTAATAAATCTATATAGTAATTAGACAGACAAATAAATTGTATATTCACAAATTACAAACACAGCATAATTGAGGTATAGAATATATAAAAGAATTACTTGTATCGTCGTTTTGTGCCATCAAGCGCCATCACCTCCCATCGTTCTGTTTGTTTGTCATAGCTGAACGCAGATACATTTGTCCACTGAAATATTATTTATTTATTCATTTACTAACAACTGGCCCCGGCTTCGCACGGCTGTACATGTATTATATATATAAACCTTCCTCTTGAATCACTCTATCTACTAAAAAAACCGCTTCAAAATCCGTTCCGTAGTTTTAACGATTTAAGCATACATAAGGACAGACAGCGACAGCGACTTTATTTTATACTATGTAATAATGATGATGATTTCAATGTTACAATATTCGCCAGAGAACTAATGTCACGGACATAGCTCTTACGTAGTGCTATGTCAGTGACACACTCTACTGACATAGTGGGCTGGTCATATATATCGCAGAACCGATGGTCGCTAGAGTAGAGCATTTTAGAGTGAAGACCGAGTATTGGCAAACGCAGTGTAGGACGCCCCGCAGCTAGATGGAGCGACGATATACATAGGGTTGCAGATTGTAGCTGGAAGAGAAGGGCTGAAGATCGTGCCCAGTGGTATGCCTTGGGAGAGGCCTACGTTCAGCAGTGAACTGCAGTGGGCTGATGATGATGCCAATATTAGAGTTTTCAAAGTAGTAGTAAAAAGAAGAGAGTGGTAATCGTGGTTTATATACATGAACAGCATCATGAACTTCACGATATCATATCACATGACATTCCTCATACAATATGATTTTTTAAATATTTTTATTTACTCTTATTTAGTTACTCAACCAGTTGGTTGTGTCTTTTTTATTATGATATATAGTTGGTAGTTTGTATTCATCTTAAAAATGTAAAGTTACAACTAAATTATTTAAAAGAGTAACACACAAGTTTCTTGCTCATTCTTCTTGTGATGTCCCCTCCCAAGAAGCTTTTCCGAATGAGCGGTAGATTAAAAAAAATACAAATGATTGTTCAAAAGTGCTTCAATAAAAATTTATTAAATAAAAAAAGTTCTATTCTAAGTCGATTTTGAATGTCTACTTTAATACATCTTATAAACCGACTTTTAAAAAAAACATCTGTCTAGTTTCTCGCCAGTTCTTCTCAATTGAATCTATATACTGAACTGGACGGTAGGGGAAAAATAATAATACAAAAAACTTTACATTCATAACCTGCCAAAATGTCCTACATGAATAAATTATTTTTGATTTGAATAACTAAAACTACTAAATACTAAGGTTGCTCTATGCTACCTCATATAGATTGTTCAGCATCTGCAAAGTGTCTCCAGTAGATTTGGCTTTTCCATCCTCTTTCGGTATAAAAGCGAGTCCTGGACAGGGGTAGTGCTCTCCTTCAATCATACCCAATGATAGCCATTCCTCTGGTATGCTGAAATAACCCATTAAGATAATAATTTTACCTACATCTTTTTCTTTCGGGCTACTCTAATGCTGTTGGCTGCAGTGAGCCTTTACAGCTTCACTGGACGATAGAGAGCGAGTGCAGATGGCACTCCAAATCTACGGAAGGACTTATGGAGCGGTTGACGGTCAACTCCAACCTGACGGATAGGACTTTAGTCTTTAGTCTGGCACCGTTCGTTCGAGGAGTTCGAACCTCGTTGTCGTCGTAATTTCAATCCCCATTTGAATTGGACGGGGGATCGATCGAAGGCACCTAATAAGGTATTGATAATGAATTGTTATTACCTAAGGATTAGACAAAATGAATAAAAGGTAGTAAGTAATATGTTAAGATATAACCATTCCTTTTGGAATATTACTTTACTATTTGGATATAATGGCCGATAAGGATCAGTGGAAGAGTATTACATATTGTGCTGGCCCCAAATAATGGGATAAAGGATGTTACAATGATGTTACAATTACGGTTTTTTTTAATAATTCAATCTAATTTTTTTTATTTATAATATCTCAAGACAATTCTAACAATGCCATCTAGTACCAGGCTAAGCAAAGCTTTTGTTATGGGAACTAGACAACTGATATAAATACATAGATACATTTTTTTTTAATACATACTTATTAGGTATAAAACTCATCGACTGATACAATCACACTTATAAATACACATGCTTGTACCGTGTAAAGAATTAAACCTGCGACCATCAGAAATAAGGTGGTGTGCTAACTACTAGATCACTGAGGATGTCAGATTATCTATCTATTTATTTATTAATTATGAAATCCTGTGGCCCTATTACCAGCAATGTATTATATTAGGTCAACAAACACACTCTACAACATGATTCATTCCTAGTGAACTCATCACAATGAACTGCCTGCCATACAAATATATTTCACTGTTACCGACCGGCAATCGAAATCAGTATTGTCAAATATCTCCAAATCAAGTTTTGGAAATGGACTATATAAACCATAATACTCTTGATTGGTAAATTTAAACACAGCGGGGGGCAGCAACCAGAATGGTTGTATTCCCAACTCCCGGAGCATTTTCTGAAACAATAGAGACTAGATTTTCATACTGCACTAGTGCCTATAATTTAATATTCAATCAGACATATGAAAAAAGCAAATATATTTGTTTTTCTAAAAACACTTCGAGAAGAAGTAAGACATCACAAGAGCATATAGAGATTGTATATGGGTGTATACTAATATCCTTGCAACAGCACTATGTGAGCCAAAGAATTAGAGAAGGCTTAAAAGACCTCAGGCATAGAATTCTATTCACTGAAATGAAAAGAAGAGTAATATAAAATGAAACAGTTTCTTCACTGGAGATACAGTTCTCTCACATCAAAAGATACCCACAACGAATCTGCTAAGTTCTTGGTGAGCTTATTGCAATATACAGATAAAAAATTAAAAATATATTCTTCATGTAATATAATAATAATAATAAGTCTTTATTTACTGTTAACTTTACAAATTTATACATGTGTTTAGACAGTAACTGTGGTTCTGTTAGTAGTCCATTTTTATTATTTCCGTTTTTTTTCCCATCTAAATCGGAATGTCAACAGTCTGTCATGATGCAACATAGGCTTCCTTCATGTAAGTCAGGAAATTCCACATATTCACACTGTGTGATTCACATCATCCTTTTTAATATGCACTGCCAAATAGTGGAACACATTTTCAGCTTTTGTGTTCCTGGAGAAATACAACCCCGGATTCTTCAAGTCTATGGTGTATAGATTTCTTCTGGGTAAGTGCGCTATAGCCTAGGTCTTGCCATTATTTACCATCAGATGTGGTAAGATCAAGCAGAAACCCATTTATGATTAAAAAAAATACAAAATATGTCAATGCAACTATGAGAAATGCAAAATTAATTGTAGCTAATGGCCCTCTATCTAAATGGATAAGCAACTCTGGGAGTCAAGGTATCAACAATATGTTGAATTATAGGGTAGGCCCTATTAGTATTACCTTTATATTGGCAGCAAGAAATTTTCTCCTGAGACGTTCGATTTTAACCAGACGAGGCAACTCTTTTGGCAACACTATACTCAGAAATTGTAGTTTAGGTACAAATGTCTCAAATGGGAATTGCTGAAATGATAAGTAAGTGCATATTATAATATAATAAAAAAAAATATATTAATTTAAATAATCCAATTATTTAAATTAATATATATTTTTTTTTTACTAACCTTTAAATGTATATAATATTTTGGTTTGTGAATCGATTATAATGAAACAAACACGAAATCTTAAGAGAACCTTACTAAAAATATACTAGATACTAGTAATAAACACATTCTATTTATAATTAGTTAATCCCATTCTGAGATTCAAGTGCCCAATGTAAATATTTTTTTATGACCTAGGTGTCACAGTACCAATGAGAATGCATATTTGAATTGATTTTTTTTAATAAAAATATACAAAATTTAATATTTACAAAATGAAACTTTACATAAATATGCTAAAGAAAAGGCGACCTTATTCCTCAAACCAATCTCTTACAGAAAAATAATATTTACTGTAAAGGTATGACTGCTCTACGATTTTATTTAGTATAATTAAATTTGAGTAGAAACTACTTACAATACTTTCATCTTCCCGATACGTAGTCCAACGACCGGGAGGCAGGAGAATTTTCGGTCTTTGTGGTTTTGGCAAGGAAACAACAGTTGGCGCTAATTTGTCAGTCTTCGCCTATAATCAAATATTTTGTTTGAATAATAACTACATTTATATTTTTTATATTTTGTTTGTTAACATATAATAAATATTACTATATATATATATTTTTTTATAAAAACGAGACAAGTCGTGTTGCAATTTGGAGTTTGGGATTTGGACCGGCAAAATGTAACTTGTCAAAAATTCAAAATTACCGCCAAACCTATTAGTATGTAATATTATATTATCTGTGCTATTAGTATCCGCTGTCATTGTCATGGAAGCCCTGAGTAAGTAATCACTGTAGCCAGTAGTGAAGAACATTTTACAACGTGGCTATACTGAAACCGTGGCAACTACTTAAATTTAGTCATATAAAGATTTTTCTCAATCGTAATAAATATATTTAATACTCAATCGTCTTAATACAATAAAACAAAACGAAATCACGTTCTCAAGTTAATAACGCTACTGAATAACAGTCGTAAAAATAGTTCTTAAGGTTGCATTTTGCATTACCTGTAAAATTAGTTTCATGCGTTTTTTTGCGCATATTTCCCTAGATGGGTCTTCTTTAGTCATATCAGCAACTAATTCCGAATAATATCCCCTTTTAGGAACAGCATCTCTTGATATATTATCATAAATCACGTCTTGTTGTTTTATTTTTTTTCTCTTACTGTACATATTCGTTACAATTAGAAGTAAACTTTACAATAAAACCAATTTATTTGAAATAATATCTTTCTAAATTACTAAGCAGTTATTGTACTTTGAAGAATTGTTTATATTTTGATATCAATTGACATATAATTAAAACAGAGTGACATTACATTAGTTTAGTGAATTTATGCCAGTTAGTGAGTAATTATGATCGCTAATTTTGAATTTATTAATTTAGAATTCAAAAATTTAACAGCTTCCTTTGTGTCTTAATTTGTGTTTACTTGTTTGTTGTCTATATAAATATGTATATCTAATCATTCAAATTCAACTAGGGGTGGTGGTTCTTTTTGAAAAAGATAAACTTTTTAAGTTAGTAAAGTTAGTAAATCAAGCCCTAAATTTTTTTATTTAGTAATAACAATTTCTTGCATAAAAAAATCTATTTGTATAAATTATTGTTTACACAGAGTAAGTACAACGTTTTCATTAAATTATGTTGCGTATAGCTGTATAGACTTAGTCGTTTGCCTTTCCCAGTAACGCGAACAATCGACAAATAAATTGGCTACGGTTGACATGGTCGTTCAGTAAAATGATGATTCATTGTAGAAATGTATTCTATAGTTTGATATACTGGAATAGGAAACTAAAAATACCTGTGTACATTAAATAAATGTAAATGTAATTAACTAATATAATTAGTACAGTGTTGAAAAATAACATGTTTCTATCTTGGTTCAATTACTTTAGTTTGCTCCTTTTGCATGGTTGACTATTCTGTATATGATGTGGTGCACTTATTAATTTGTCTATTAAATCGTAAACTAGGTAGCTTTTTCTTTAGGATATAGTTATTTTTTGTTATGTGTCGAGTGGTATGATTCAGTCATGCACACTTAAATTAAATGTACAGTCTGTGGTCATTGGGTTACCTAAAAAATATACTTAAAAATATACTGGCTCACATATTATACTCAATATGATCGCGTGCTTCTTATAGAGAGATCTCTTCTGAAAACTATGACTGATTTATTTTGTTACTTAAGTAACTTTTCCATTGTCTATCTAACTATTTGGTTGTTTGTCTTAAACATTGTTATGCTGAAGATTTATCTAAAAGAGCAAATCACAAGTTGTTCGTTCTGTCTGCTTTCTGAGTGGTAGAAAAAAAATGCAATATTAAGTTTATTTGACCAATGATTATCTATTTCTGTTGAACCCCTTCAAGAATATGTGACAAACATATTCTTTTCTGACATCAATATTTATAATCCTTCATGTCTGCTCTTTTTATTTGATGGCTTAAATCAAATCATTAAGTAAAGTAAAAGTTGGTAAAAATCATGTAACTGGTTGATTGTGCTTGATTTCTAATGTGGTTGAATTGATAAATGGTAGTGTCAATCATAAGTTTCAATAAAATGTTTCTGAACTAAACTGAATAAAATACTTATCTCATAGAGCTTATCATCAGTATTTTCTATAGTTCCTGGAAAATATTCCCCTTCATACCTGACATTCATATTTCATTGGTTTTGTCTGACCTCCAAAGATTTATGTACAATTAAAGGTATTAAATCAGTATCAATTCAACATTATTGATGAGATAGCTATGACCTATATGATATTTCTTTACCTGAAAGTATATCCTCTTTCTTATTCTTCTTTGACATTTTTTATTAGCTGTCATAAGAGCATTTTTACTTCTGGTTCTATTCCTTTATTTACTGCATCAGGTAGGAGAGCTTTCTTACACCTTTTCTGGTTGCCTTTAATTGGAGATTCAGAGGGCCATACCATTGCTGATGCCAATGCAGGGCTAATTGGTTGAAAATGTTTTCTTGTACTCGTAGAAGGAGATGATAACTTGATTTGCTGAAGAAGAAAAAGAAGAAGATTATTTCAGTTGTGATGGTATTCTAATATTGTAATTAAGGATTTGATTAACTTAGGATGTTTCAATTTGTTATTTAACAATCTGTAAAAGTTTGTTTTTATGACGATTGGAATAAAATTTTTTTGGTGTTGATAGGAATGTGCAGAGTGTAGATTTCCAATATGTTTTCACGGGCGCAACTATGCTAACATCAGCTGGCTGCGAAATATGGGTGGTATTGAGCAGAAGCGCATACAAAATAATTTCAATTTGTTCACACAACTTAACATTAATGATATTTTTGTTCATCTACTAGAAAAAGCACTTTTTGGTTTTTTGATGTTATTTTCCACTACCCAATTGTGAAACTCCATGGTGATGTTTTCAATGAATACATTCCTCTCATCTCTCCAATCACCTGTCTCCGATCTGCCTAAGCACTAATCTGAGGGCATACTATAAACTACAGCTCTTGGTGATCTAATGTATGGAAACTATACATGGACACCTGTTTCCATTGGTATTAAATGTTAATAATACCTATATATTTTCATTTTCATTACTAGGCTTTATTTAGTATAAGTTTTTCAACCCTCTTGGACTTAATATGTCTCCTATCTTTGGACATAGAGCAAAACCACTTTTATCTCCATTAAAAATTATTTTCGGGTCACTTAAAATATCTTTTTGGTGTATAGGTACTGTCCAAATATTTCTCTAATTCTCTAAACCACAATCTGATTGACTGTTCAGTTACTTAGGCTTGAGCTTTATTAATACCCTCTGTATTTTTAAGTGTTGTGATTCCTTTATTTCTGGCCAAAAATTTTTGAAACAATTTTTGACCTGGGCGGTGTTCGAAATTAAATTAAACTCTCGAATTGTTTTCTGAACTGTATCCAACTATTCTTGCTATTTCACTAGAAATCCATATTTGTAAATGTTAAAAAGCCATTCAACTACTTTTTTTCACCATCTACTCCTAGCGCTGATTCTGGTCCCGGTTTCTTTACTCCATCGGGTCTGCGCCCACTGATTTAATTAAATATTAAGGTAAAATTATCCTTAATCTCTTGAATGAAATCAGTATACGTCATATTTGGCTCATCATAGAAAAAACTACAGGTAAATTGATAGTTGGGCCATAGACAAATTTTGCGCAGCAACCAGTATCTTGTCAGAAGTGGAGCGTATCACCCCAGTTTCACCATTGCTGCGGGATAGTAATACGATGATGTCGGTTGAGACTATTTATATACACATGGTACTAAACTGACAAATTGTACATAAAAATATCTATCTTATACACGAAATAACAATAGTAAGGTAGGGTGACTCGGTTTGGACACGGCTGTGTAAATGATATTTAGTTTGTCTTACTAGCTATAATTAATTGCAACTATTTCAAGTATTACATTGAAGTGTCTAGATAACTGTAATATAGGTGTCTATTATGAGGTATTTTTGGCTCCTGCTTCTGAAAGTATTTCATTAAACTACTTTTTTTTATTTTGACTATTGTTTTGGTTTTTTTTTAAATTTCGGCAAATCAGCCCTATTTATATAGACGATAGCAGTGGAATAAATTCTACTATCATACAGAAAATGTATCACTGAATACGAGACGAATAGAAACTTTAGAAAGCTACGTATGATTAAATTTTTTCTTCTATAAGAGATTTTGTAAGTGTTTTGACAACATTAGCGCCTACGCCTAATTTCGGTACATTATTATCTCTTACTGTAAAAACTTACTGACATTGCCTGTTGATTTAGGTATAGCGTACTTTTAAAGCGCTTCAATTTTCCTTTTGTTTGGAAAAATTACATACTTTATACCTTTCCTTGTACAATATATTATATAAATTTGTAAACTATGTTATATAAAAAATAAACTTATCAAAATGTTGATGCAATTTGTTGTGGTTTATAAATAATGAATGTTTAACATTATGTCCTCAGTTCATATAGTCTATAACCTCAGTTTGTCCGAGTCGTATTGTAGTCCTGAATGTTAACCGCTTTTCACCGAGTGAAACTTATACATATCTAGATTTGCTCATCCCTCAAAATGTTAATGCAATATTTGTTCATCTTTTAAAAAGTTGATGCAATTTGTGGTGGTTTATTATTAATGACTGTTATACAACATATGATGTCATTTATGAATTAAGTGCGTCGCAGCCGCAGGAGTTAAAAAAAACCGAAATTATTTTAATATATTTAATTAAAAATAAAATATTACAAACTAAAATATGACTATAACTATCTTGGGACGAAGTTGGTACCGAATTAAGTTAAATTAACAAATACTGAGACGCGGAAACACTAATTAATATGTCGAGTTAGCAGTTGCTCAGCGCGGTGGCTCAACGAAGATGTGGGGCGCTGATTCGTCATTTCGAAGTACGGGCACAAAGTACAAGGCCGTGCTCCTCATCAGCAATTTCCGTATTAGCAACAGCTATAACATATCCTCTATATCCTCAGTTTGTCCGAGTCGTATTGTAGACCTGAATGTTAATCGCTTTTCACAAAGTGAAACTTATACATGTCTAGATTTGACAATCCCTCAAAATGTTAATGCAATATTTGTTCATCTTTTAAAAAGTTGATGCAATTTGTGGTGGTTTATTATTAATTACTGTTATACAACATATGATGTCATTTATGCCCTCTATGTCCTCAGTTTGTCCGAGTCGTATTGTAGACCTGAATATTAATCGCTTTTCACAAAGTGAAACTTATACATGTCTAGATTTGACCATCCCTCAAAATGTTAATGCAATATTTGTTCATCTTTTAAAAAGTTGATGCAATTTGTGGTGGTTTATTATTAATGAATGTTATACAAGATATCATGTCATTTATGTCCTCTATATCCTCAGTTTGTCCGAGTCGTATTGTAGACCTGAATGTTAATCGCTTTTCACAAAGTGAAACTTATACATGTCTAGATTTGACCATCCCTCAAAATGTTAATGCAATATTTGTTCATCTTTTAAAAAGTTGATGCAATTTGTGACGGTTTATTATTAATGAATGTTATCAAAGATATGATGTCATTTATGTCCTCTATATCCTCAGTTTGTCCGAGTCGTATTGTAGACCTGAATGTTAATCGCTTTTCACAAAGTGAAACTTA